GAACCTCTTCCTTCGGCCACCGGACTATTCCTGCAGGGTATCTGATCACTGGCATAGCTGTTAATTACCCAGACCTTGTTCTTGCCAGTGAGCCGGGTTCTCAGGACCTGCCTTACTCGCTGGAGGTATTTGGCAGGTGCCGCCTACTATACTGAGATACTTGTAGCTGTCCTCAACGTCTGCTATTGTTCCCTCTGGGAGTGAGATCCCTTCTGTGTGGACTACTTTGCCTCTCCGAGTCACCATCCTGCTACATTTCTCGAGTCCGAATGACATCCTCATGTCATGGCTGTAGATCCTGGTGGTTTGGGTAAGAGAGTTGATGTCTCTCTCGCTTGCAATACAGCTTGATGTCATCCATGTAGAGGAGGTGACTGATCTTTGCTCCGTTCCTGAGGAGGTATCCATAGCCAGTCTGGTCGATTATTTGGCTTAGACGAGGGTTCAGACCTATGCAGAACAGCATTGGGGACAGAGCATCTCCTTGGAAGATACCACATTTGACGGTCACATGCCATTTGCCTCAAGGGTGGTCTTCCGCATCCTCATTGAGTTTGCAACAAAGCTCCCTAGAGCATTCTGTAAAGAATGGAGTGGTTTCTTTCTGGTTTGGGGACACTACAGACAGACTCCGGTCAGAGAATCTTCACTCAGCTTTAATGCAGGGTTGTCAATTTGTCACAATTTGTACATTGTGTGTGTATGTGGCTATGGAAACAGAAAGGGACAAAGAAAAAACAGTATTAATAATAATTATATAATGAATAACATAATAAACGATAAATAGTCAATGTATTTGGACTAATAGGAGCTACAATAAATCAGGAAAAATGATAACATAAAGTACAACATAGGTACCCTTTAAGGTCTATGTGAGGTTAACATAAATATGTAACTAAGTGGTGTAAAACACGAACAGAGGTGACTGAAATGGCACTATTAATACAAGGGTGCAGGAAAGTATACATGACGGGTCATATTAGCATAGAGTAGCATCTTTAGATTACTTAGCTGAAAACAACACAGATCAGGAAAACCACTGTTTAACAAATATGGACGAACTATATAAGTAAACCTTCCTTCCCGAACTCGTGTGAGGAACAGTAGGCCTACAGCAACTTACTTCTTGAGTCACAAAACGCACAAACAATAAACAAAGTCCTCTCCTCCGTAGCAGCGTCAATATGGCACCACACAGTCTGTGCTGTGAACGCGCGCCGCTCCCGTGGTGAGGCGTTCAAGTACAGACGTCAAGATGAGTGTCGCATAGGCTTTCAGACACAGCCGCCCCCAACTGTCCACGTGGCAGTTGAAAAAACAAGAAGAAAGCCTATGTCTAGATGTCCTCATCGTCTGTATCTCCAAGAGGTGGGAGCAGGATGAGTCGGGCCACCGGACGAAGGAAGGTGCGGCTTTTGACTTGAACGCTGGCTGTTCGGACACGTCCATCTGCTCCTGGGTGTATCTGAGTAATCCGTCCGACTGGCCACGATGCTCGAGGAAGTTGAGGATCCACTATTAGTACGACTTGACCGACTGAAAGGGCTTTCCCATCCTTTCGCCACTTGCTACGCTCTTGGAGACCTGGTAGGTAATGTCGGGTGAAAGATAACCAGAAGTGGTCAGCAAGAGCTTGGCTGTGTCTCCAGCGCCTTCTTCCCAGATCACCGGGGTCATAAACTGCTTGCGGTAGAGATGCGTCGTGGCGACCCATAAGGAGCAGGTTAGGGGTGACTGGGTCTGGATCTGAAGCGTCCGAAGATAGGTAACCTAAGGGTTTAGAGTTCATTATGCCTTCAACTTCCACCAGCGTCGTCATAAGAACAGGTTCAGGAACAGTCTGGTCTTTGAGCACGACTCTGAGGGCCATCTTGACAGACTTCACCTCCCTCTCCCAAGTGCCACCAAAGTGCGGAGCGCTTGGAGGATTGAACCTGAAGAATATCTGATGTTCTGAAAGTTGTGTCTTCAATTGTGAAGCCATTGAAGCAACCGCTTCTCGCAGTTCGCGCTCTCCACCAACAAAATTGGTACCGTTGTCCATAAGGAGTTCGAACGGCTTGCCACGTCGTGCAATAAATCTTCTCAATGACAGCAAGAAAGCATCTGTGTCAAGACTCTCCAGTAGATCCAAATGTACCGAGCGCGTCGTCAGGCACTTATAGACTATTCCCCATCTCTTTTCGGTGCGGCGGCCAATTTTGACTCGAAACGGCCCAAAACAATCGACTCCTGTTGAGTAAAAGGGAGGCTTGTGGAGACGAAGTCGAGGGGGTGGATAGTCAGCCATCTTGGGAACATCGGGCTTGGCTTTCCATCGTTGACATTCAACACACGAATGCTGGTGCTTCCTTATGGCCTCTCTTCCTCGTACAATCCAGAAGCGGCGACGAAGTTCAGCAAGAACTCGTTCCGGACCTGGATGTAGCAACGAATTGTCTGTGTCCTTGATGACGAGCTGGGTCACAGAGTGTTTCGGGTCCAAGATGATAGGATGGATGGTATCCAGATCCAGCCCTGTGGCGTGCCGCAACCTTCCACCGACTCTCAATAGTCCTGTGGCCTCCTCATATTCTGGTGAAAGAGAGGCAAGACGGCTGTCCAATGGGAGGGAACGACCAGCTTTTAGGGCCTTTATTTCTTCGGGAAAACAGTCTTCTTGAGCCTTCTGCAACAGCAACTTCTCCGCTTGTAGAAAGTTATCTGCTGAGCATGCTGAATGGGAGCTTGCATCAGCCGCCCCGTGAAGAGAGGTAGCTGCCTCTCGAAGAAGCTGCTTCCAGGTGGAGCACTGGGTAGGGTCAGGAAGCTGCGAAGATTGAGTAGTGGACACTACGCCGATAAAAGCAGATTTCTTCAACTCCGCTGCATCATATTCCACTTCAGATGAGGACGGCATGGTGGGCCACTCAGCTTCTGGCAGGTACAGAAAGTGTGGACCTTTGTTCCAGCGATGTTCTTGTATTATATCCTGCAGACTGAGTCCACGGGTAATGTCATCCGCAGGATTGCTCTCCGTGTTAACGTAGCGCCACTGCGAGGGGTCCGTCAGGTTCTGGATCTCTGTGACACGGGTCCCCACAAACACCTTATAACGGCAGGACTCTGACTTAATCCAATGCAGCACGGTTGTGGAGTCCGACCAGAGAGTGATATGCTCAGGTGGGATGGCAAGCTCTGTCTCAATCACTCTGGCAAGCTGAGCACCGGTAAGGGCAGCACTTAGTTCAAGACGTGGGATGGACAGCTGCTTCTTGGGTGCGACTCGTGATCTGGCGAACACAAACGACAGGTGATTGTGCTGATTGGGATCCACTGTCTGCATGTAAGCAACCGACCCATATGCACGCTCAGATGCGTCGCAGAAGATGTGAACATGCACAGTAGCAGTGGCCGAATCGACAGAACCTGGAGCATAACAGCGTGGTAACTTGAGGTGTCGTAAAGCGGGGATCTCTTGTACCCAGCTCAACCACTTGTCCAGGAGGTCTGTGGGCTGTATCTGGTCATCCCAGCCAATGTTGGACTTCCACATGTCCTGGATAAGCACCTTACATCTGGTAGTGAATGGTACGATGTAACCGAGTGGGTCGTAGAGCTTGGCAAGAACACTGTAGACATGTCTGAGTGTGGCCGGTGTGGTGTCAGCGGCCTGATGCTTGTAGCTCAATGTATCGTCCAAACAATCCCAGGTGAGCCCGAGAGCAGGTTCGTCGAGGTTATCGCTAGCTTTGGATAGCCACAGCTCACTGCTAGCTGACTGGGCTTCGGGAGGTAGGTGTGCCACAACTTCGGGCACGTTGCTTGCCCACTGACGGATCTCAAAACCACCTTTGATCAGAAGTGCTCGGAGATGGTCAATCAGGGCCTTGGCCTCTTCAACCTGACTCATACTATGAAGGCAGTTGTCAACGTAAAATGAATGCTCAATCACTTGCATAAGGAGCGAGTCTGGTGGCTCATGGTCTCTGACATGCTGCTGCAGGGCGTAGACGGCGCAACAGGGGCTGCAGGTTGTCCCGAAAGGCAACACTTGCCACTCGAAGATCCGTGGTTCAGACGTAACTTCCATATCCCGCCAGAGGAATCTGAGAAGTGGTTTGTCGCAGGGCAGTAAGCGAATCTGGTGGAACATCCCCTTGATATCCCCACTTATGGCAACAGCATGGCGACGGAAACGGAGCAGGACCCCAATCATGGTAGGACCCAGCGTAGGCCCAGGAAGAAGATTGTCGTTGAGGGACTGGCCTTGGTAAGAGAAGGAGCAGTTAAAGACGACCCTGTCCTTTCCGTTGTGGTGCACCATATGATGCGGTACGTACCACGACTCTGTGGACTTCGATACTATGTCGGAGGGGGTCTCAGCGACATAGCCAGCCTGTACAAGTTTATCCATCTCTTTGCGGTAGGAGGCTGCTCGTGCAGGATCTTTGGCCAATCGGCGTTCAATTCTGCGTAGGCTGGGCATCGCAGCGTCTGGGGGTGCCAGAAGGGTAGTGCTGGATTGACGGCGTAAGAGTGGAGTAGCATAGCGTTGGATGCCGTCGATAGATACACGTTCAGAGGTAGTCTGCAGAAGAGTAACTGCTTGTTGGTCTTGTTTGGAACGAGACGCCATCTTCTCGCTGATATAAGGGAGTGTATCGATCTGCCAAAGGCGCTCCACATTCTTCATAAGTACAGAGTAGGGGGACTCTGTGGCAATGTGCAAACAAGAATGATGGGATGAGACTGCCGCAATCTCTGACGGACCTTGAAGTGACCAGCCTAGTCTGGTGCAGATGGCTATTGGACCACCAGAGGGACCAGTGCGCACGGGCTGAGTTGGGGTAAGGAGATGTGGCACATTTGAACCAATGAGTAGCAGTGGTTGCGCTCTGTGGATCGCCGACAACGGAAGCCTTCTGAGATGCTCAAAGCGCTTCTGGAGATCTGCTACAGGGTAAGTGTGCTCGGATAAGCTCAGACTGTTGGATGTAAAAGCGTTGTCAATGCGATACCTCTTGTTTGGCTTGAAGATGGGTGAGACGTGGAAACTGACAGAAGAACCATGTAGCTCCTTCACTTCTTGTTGGACAGTCCTCAGGTGCAGAGTTTCAGGATGCTTAATGAGTTGAAGCTGCTCTACAGCATGTGGGAGTAGAATCGACCTTTCAGAGCCATCGTCGAGTACTGCAAACGTCTCCAAAGTGCGGTTTCCATGTTGTAAGAGCACTTTAACGATCTTCAACAGGACTCTCTGAGGGCTTCTGGGCTGTTCAATGTAGACCGTGGGTTCCCGATGACTCACCGTAAGGACTCTCTGGGATAACTCTTGGATGACGTCATGCAGAACTGTAAGGTGGGTCTCTTTACATGTCTTACAAGGGCGTTTGAGGGTACACGCTGCAGCCTTATGATTGCGACCACACTTGAAACATCTATCACCCTCCTGGATCCACTTCTTGATCTCGCTCAAATTCAGTTTCTTAAACTCAAGACAAGAATTGAGATAGTGTTCTTTATTATTGCAGAATGGGCAGTATGGTGTAAACTTTGAAGCTTGTGGCTTCTGCGGAGTGGTCGGCCTGTCTTTGGTTGTCTCAGAGCACAGGAAGACTGAAGCAGCTCTGTCTTTGCACTTTGAACCATGTTGTTCCCTCTTGGATGGAAGAGGCCCAGGATTGTAGAGATGAGTGGCCCGACTGGCCAGGCGTTTAGCTTGAGCTTTCATCTGTAGCCAGGCTGCAAGGTCGGGCAGAGTGTAGGTTATATCCGTACCTGGCTGCAAGATGCCTCGACAAAGACAGTACTCCACGAATCCATCTCTGTGGGCCGGGGACATCTTACTTAAAAGGCGGTCGACATGGGAGCCACACCTGAGCTCATATCCGACGGTTCCCTCTAGAGTGCGTAACATACTAACCAGAGACTGGACTGAGAGGGCAAAGGAGTCAAAAGCTTCGGCATCTCCCGACTTAATGGCTGGTGAGTTGAGTATTGAGCCTAGCTCACTTTGGACCAGCTGTCTAGGTTGGCCATACTTGTCTTGAAGGGCACCTAGTGCTGCAGTGTAAGGTCTGGGATCATACATGTATGACTTGGCTAGCTGCAATGCACTGGGAAGTTTAAGCTGACTCAGGAGAACTTGATACTTATAATGCTCGCTGAGGTGAGGGTGGCTGTTCATCAGATTGTCCAGTGCCATCTTAAGTAGAGCGAAATCACTTTCTCGCCCACTTTCGAAAGCAGGAAGTGCTGGCTTGGGGATGCCATAGGACGAGGCAATCAAGGTCTCTATGCTAGGATATGACCATGGTTGTGCTGGCGGACCTCGATTCACATCTGGAATTATAGGTGCTGTGTATTGCACAACTGGAGGTGGGGGAACAGCTCCAACAGCTGGAAATGGGACTATGCTCCCGATGCTTGCAGCTGTTGGCTCCGGGCGTTGGGGCTGACTGACGGAAGTGACAGCAGGAGGCCTCATTAGTGGCACTGTTGCGGCAGGGATAGGTTGGCTAATAGGTACAGCAGATATAGGAGGGGGTACCGTGGGAGGAGTATAGGTAGACACCGGTATATTGGGTGGCAGCCAAGCACTAGCATTGGCGGTTGTAAACGTCTGAGCAACAGGAAGAGTAAGAAGGGACTGTACCTGATCTGGGTGCTGCTGTGGCTGTGCTGGATGCTGAGCAACATGGGAAGGTGGAAGAGACGGTCTAGGAGTGGATGTCAGAGACATAATCCCATCAGAAAAGGGTGGGATCGTCACTTTACCTTTTGCTTCATCCTCTGATTCGGATAGAAAGCACTTTACAGCACTGGCAATCTTAATTTCCTTCTCCAACTTCTTCAGGCGTCTGCGCCGTCCCATCTCCTTGGCCATCCTTTCCTTGGCAAGGTATGCTTCCTCTTGCATCCGTTGTCCTTCTTTAACTTGTTCCTCCAACTTCTTGGCTTCCAAATCGGCTTCTCTCTCCTCTTCTATCTCCTGCTGCAGGTCCGCAAGCTCCATAACTCTGATCTGCTCTTCCAGCGCAGCTGCTTTAACATCTGGCATATTCTTCAGTAGTTGACTCCCCAGGGATAAACGAGAAGACCGTCGTGAACTTGTAGATGACTGATATCCTGACGCACTCCCGGTTCTGGAAGGCTTACGCTTGCCGGGTTGTCCTACTGGAAGTGAGGAGACTTGGGCAGCGGGCTGCTGAGAGGGAAGGAGGACGACATCATATTCGGCCAAATGCTCTGGTAGACGAAGGTCTCTCTTGGGTCTGGAGGATGGAGGATCTTGATCAGCTGAGTCCATAGCGCCTCTAGTGGAACCAATCCGGCTCGAAGGACCAATGTAAAGAATGGAGTGGTTTCTTTCTGGTTTGGGGACACTACAGACAGACTCCGGTCAGAGAATCTTCACTCAGCTTTAATGCAGGGTTGTCAATTTGTCACAATTTGTACATTGTGTGTGTATGTGGCTATGGAAACAGAAAGGGACAAAGAAAAAACAGTATTAATAATAATTATATAATGAATAACATAATAAACGATAAATAGTCAATGTATTTGGACTAATAGGAGCTACAATAAATCAGGAAAAATGATAACATAAAGTACAACATAGGTACCCTTTAAGGTCTATGTGAGGTTAACATAAATATGTAACTAAGTGGTGTAAAACACGAACAGAGGTGACTGAAATGGCACTATTAATACAAGGGTGCAGGAAAGTATACATGACGGGTCATATTAGCATAGAGTAGCATCTTTAGATTACTTAGCTGAAAACAACACAGATCAGGAAAACCACTGTTTAACAAATATGGACGAACTATATAAGTAAACCTTCCTTCCCGAACTCGTGTGAGGAACAGTAGGCCTACAGCAACTTACTTCTTGAGTCACAAAACGCACAAACAATAAACAAAGTCCTCTCCTCCGTAGCAGCGTCAATATGGCACCACACAGTCTGTGCTGTGAACGCGCGCCGCTCCCGTGGTGAGGCGTTCAAGTACAGACGTCAAGATGAGTGTCGCATAGGCTTTCAGACAATTCCATGATCCATATGTGTGACATTGAGTCGTAGGCTTTCTGGTAATCAATCCAGGCTGTGCACAGGTTGGTGTGCACAGCCGGCAGTCTTGGGTGACTTTTCTGTCATCCAGGAGCTGGCGTTTGGCTCCTCTGGTATCTCTACCGATTCCCTTCTGTGCTGTGCTCATGAATTGTTCCATATGCCCACTTATCTTAGCCGCAATGTTGCCTGACATGAGCTTCCATGTTGTGGAAAGACAACCCTTCACCCTTCACAAGGTCTTTCATGATCAGGATTGTTCGACCTTCGGTTAACCCATCTCTCAGCAGCTGGTTCATTTGTGCTGCTAGATGCTCATGGAGTGATGTGAGTGTCCTTAGCCAGTAGGCATGGACTATAACTCTTTCTTGGACGTCTGCCTCTGTGATGGTAACCGAGTTCTATTCTGGGAGGTAGCTGTGCTCCCCACTAGCTATTGTGCACTGCTGTTATGTGCTTCCTCCTTCTCCCATATGCTCTTCCAGAACTGTTCAGTTTCCAGCCTTGGTGGGTCTGCTCCCCTGTTGTTACCCTGCCACTGAGCGTACACCTTCGCAGGTTGTGTTGCGAACAGCCTGTTTACTCTTCTGGTTTCATTCTCTTTAGTGTACCTCTGTAGGCGGCTGGCCAGGGCTTGGAGCCTTTGTTTGGCAGTTTCGAGTGCTCCAGGTATGGTCATCTGGCTGTACTTCTTGGGTGCCGGTCTTTTCATTGCACCTCTCTGGGCCTCTGACAATTGACACTTCTCTTCGAGCAGCCTCGATCTTAGCCTCCAACCATCTTTTCCATAGTGGGTATTGTATAGCTTGGGTGGTATATTCCCAATTGTAGGCTTTTTGGGCCTAACCATGCTTTCTCTGTTTCCTTGGTACATGGAGAGGCAATGGCCCTCATTTTTGAAACTTGCGTATGGCCAAATCAGGGTGTAAATGAGGCGTACGCAGAAAATGTACGCTTTTCGCATTTATCAATCTGGGCGTACTGTACGCATAAAATATACGCCAGGTCAGGAGGTGGTGTAAAAATATACGCTCATCTCAACCTTCATCACAACACGCCAAAACACGCATGAATTTCAAGATTTGGACAACAATTACCATATTCACACTCTGGCAAGATTATAAACTGCGTTTTCATTGAGCATCATGTTTCGTCTTCTGTTTCTTCGTTTTTGAATCTGACTTGTGTGTGTATTATTTTGATCTGTATTTTTTTTTAAATGTGAAGCGCTTTTTGATCCTGGACTGTGAAAGGCTCCATACAAATACACTTTACTTACTAACTTACGCAACAGGGATGTGTGACCCATCTATTGCTTTGTAAGTCTGTGGCAGGCCGTGCCCTGCGTAATTACCAGTGGGGGAGGGTCCCAGCTCAAAATTGGCCAAAATGACGTGCGCTGACATGCTTGCAATACCACCCCGGGCCGATGGGGGTGGACCCAGAAGTAGAATTAGCCAATGCTAACATATAGAGGGATCCTATGGTCACGTGACTAGCAGCCACGGCAGCCATACTGGAGGACAACCTCGGCGAGTAACAGCCCTGCTAGCTATCTATAACTGGACGTTCAAAACTAGAACTCTCTCGAACTACATGAAAACTGAACAGAGAATTTGAAACTTCAGCAGTTAGTGACCCAAAAGTGTCCTAAAATGTATTTTTGTAAGGTTTACCGCGGTCGCATATTGTCGCATTAAAACAGTGTTTTTTCATGAAAACGTGAACAGAAAATTCTGAAAACCTCTGTGCACGTGTATTAAGAATGTATATGTATAATGTATTCTCCGATTAACATTTAATGTGTTTATTGTTACACCATGGATCTATGTGTGGCTACACTGCAGTTTAAATAATGAGATTACATTCAAATCAATGGAGCTTTCTGCGTCTACTGTGAGGAGCCGTATATTTTATTAATAAGTACGGGGCACCCTCGAGCACGGCTCAGTCGTTCACATGTCTGCTGGCCTTCGGTAAGTCAGATACCCTGTGAACTGGGTGAGGTCCTGTATGAGACCAAATATATAACAGCTATGCTACAAGCTAAGCTACAGTCTATGGAGCAACCCCACGTTGCAGTCAGACAGATATGTTTTATCCTTAAACTTTTGTTTGTTTTTCGGAATAACACTAAATCCGCCATCAAATTGATTTCACTTAGCAGAAATGAAATGATCCGAGCATATTCGGGCGCTCTGGTGGCTATTAGTTTTTTGTTGTTGCGTATGGTTGTGCCATTTCTCTCTCGTTTCTTTGAGATTTCTTCTGTTTTGGAGCTGTGTGAAGTAAGGACGGCTGGCAGTCGGTAACACAACTTATTTTCCCTGTCTCTCCTTTTGCTGCAGCCAAAAACGGCAAAAATGTTGAACATGTTAATGCGGTCCCGGGTGCACGCCACTATCATACAGCGTTTGCTTGTCCTCCAGTATGGCGGATGCCCCGCGAGTTCGAGGCATCGTGACGTCACGTGAGATATCTCTATAGCGTTGGCAGACCTCTCAAAAACGTCTTTACAGGATGGACCGAAAGTTGGCTCTTGGCCCAAAGCTCCGTTCCACATGTGTGTCAATGCTGAGGGGGGTGGATTTTTTGGTCCACTCTAGTTTACTTGCTGTGAATTTTTGAAGTCTCTCGTTCAAATGAATGGAGTTGCGCCGACTGACGCATGCGCAGATGCGTTTTTTCACAATTTTCTTGTGGGCGGGACCACTCGCGGCCATTTTGGATTGCTCCAGTAGAGCACATTTTTTGGCCCATTAGTTAGAACGGCGGAGATAGGCGTGACTCTTTCCATTAATATACACAGTCTATGGTAATTACGCTATCTGTTTTTCCTCTTTCACATCTGGTAAAACAATGTATTTTTTCATTAGATTTGTGTAAGCCTTACACAGACACACACCCCATAAACCCACCAATGGACTATGGTATTGCTCACTCCAAATGTCTCACTGCCCTGTCCACATGTAGCAGTTTATAGACAGGATGGCAGCGCGCTTATCTCTCAGTGCGCAGCGGGTGCCATGAGAGGTCGCGCCGCATAACTCTTCAAATGTAGTGCTCGTCATTCAGAATTTGGATCCAGAGTTTCTCTGTGAAATCCTGGACCACAACTTCACCAAATCTTCTTATCCTCTCTCTCAGTTAATGATAAGAGCTACCGCTGAGGCTATTAATATTTACGAATTCATTCATTCATTCTTTATTTATTTACTTCTGAAATTCAAGAGAGATTTTGGTAATGTATCAAAAAAGTTTTGCAAATTGGTTCAAAGAAAACGCAGCTGAATATAGCGTATATTTATTTTTACATAAACATGAACAAACAAACGTGCCACAGGCCTTTTGAGGCTTCCAAACAGTCTTTTTGGTCAACTTCCATGCTGACCTGTCGTAAAAACGGTGCGTGAAACATGCGATTGATGCATAATTCTAGGCGTAACTTTCATAAATACGTTTGTATTCAGCCGCGGGATCTATTAACAGCCGCAGGTGCGTACGCTCAAATCTGGGCGGATCTCACACGTTCATAAATCCGACGTTGGATCTTGAGTATTTTGAATCTACACTCAAAATGCACACCTTTTTCTGCAGACGTTTCATAAATGAAGGCCAATCTGTGGTTTTCTGTGTTTGAATCCATTTTCATCGTCTTACTCCTTGATTCTTGAAGGAAAAAGTCTTTGACTTTGTGTAGAGTCAGAAAAAGGTTCTTTTCTGTCTGGTGACTGAGCAAATAAGCTGACGCTCCTCATAAGAAACAAGACATGTCCACGAAAAGATTCTTGAATTATGACAATGACATTTATTTTACAAACAAAAATGGTTTGTACAAAAAACTCAGCATGGGGCAGAAAAATCAAAATGAAACGCAGGTACAATACAATACAATTTATTCTTGTATAGCCCTAAATCACAACAGAAGTCATCTCAGAGGACTTAACAAAACCATTGAAATCACCAACACAGATCAGAGAATCAACAGTTAAAACACAAAAAGAATATTGAACACATGTTGAAAAATGTCCATACATGTTGTAGAATGTTAAAGTGTCCTGGATCATCACCACAGTCCTTCTAGTTGGACACTAACTGCCCAACAGACCCTCCTGCATCGGCAAGGAAAAACTCATAAAAAACCCAGTGGGGAAAAAAGTGAGAAACCTCGGGGAGACCCATAGTTTTGAGAAAGGGATCCGCTCCCACGGACGAACGGGCTATAGATCCAGGACCTAAGCTAGCTACAGAACGTGGACCACCGGCCGTTGAACGTGGACAGGTCCGGTACAGGACTGAAGAACTCCCAGGCTGGTCGGGCAGGGCAGTCCGCAGGTGTAGATGGAGGAGGTCAGGTCCAGAGGTCCCGTCATCGTACCATGAAACAGACAATGGGGCAACGGGTGAATAGCAATGAATAAACAACAGTTAAAATCCTAATGATGCTAAACAGATAAAGTAGGAAGGAGGAGAGGATAGTGCTCAAGTTACCATACTTCTCCCGTCAAACTGACTCCCTATGCAGCTTGACTGACAGTCTAAGATATTTAGCCTTCCCTGAGTCTTACCTTCCTAGCCAAATGCTAACTAAAGAGGACTGTTTTAGCCTAGCCTTGAACGTAGGGTTGAAGATGCAGCGGACCAAGTTCCATATACGCAGACTCCAGACAAAACAACCTAACCAAATGCTAAGTTGAAAAAGAGTGTTTTAAGCCTGGCCTTAAATGTAGAGACAGTGTCTGCTTCCTCAACGTGCGTGGGAAGCTGATTCCACAGTAAAGGAGCTTGGTAGCTAAATGCTCTGCCGCCAGCAGTGCTTTTTGAACCCTCAGGGACATTAACATGTCTTGAAGATAAGAGGGAGCCAAGCCATTTATGGCTTTGTTTGCCAAGAGAAGAATTTTAACTTAATTCTGTACTCCACAGGAAGCCAGTGGAGTGAATTTAACACCTATGTGCTTCCTCCTTTTGGTGCCTGTTTAGATCCTTGCTGCTGTATTTTGAACAAGCTGGAAGCTCTTCAAAGAGGTATTAGGGCAATCAATAATTGAATAACGCTAATCTGCAAGGCATTCCAGTCAACGGAGATGGTTCTCGAGTGCGGGATTGTTGGGGTGCATTGTCTGAGCTGTCGTTGCGGTGCATGACTTTCACGGCACTGCTTGTACGCTGCTCGTTGGTCCTTTTCATTTGAGTGATGTGATTTCATTTCGAGGTTTCTCTTTTCAGCTTTGCAGGAATGTGGTGGCTTTAACCATGGCCCGCTGCAACGGTGGCCTGCTACAACGCCACACCGGTGGCGCGCTTCATCATTGTCCCGCTACGACGCTGCGCTTGTCCCACTACAACGGTGGCCCTTTACAACGCCACGACGGTGGTCCGCCGCTGTCCCGCTACGACGCCACGATTGTGGCCCGCTACAACGCCACAACGGTGGCCCGCTATGTCGCCACGTTGGTGGCCTGCCACAACGCTAGCCTGCAAAGACTGCTGGAGCGCTGCTCAGCGGGGCCTTCGAAACTCCCACCTAGCAACCAGGCCGTCTTACTCAGGCGTCATCCATTGGCTTTTGGTGCGCAGCGCTCAAAGTTTGTATACACTCTCTGGCGGCTTGTGCTCATTTCCACATGCGCTGTCAGAGTGGCTATTGGCGATGCTCCCCAGCCCTAAACTCTTGTGGTCTCCCGGTGCGGCTCCCGCCGCAGGGCAAGTCTCCGGCCGCCGGGCTAGTCTTCTGCTGCCGGGCTAGTCTCGCACCTCACCTTACCCAACGCACCCTGGCCCTCGTTCTGGCCGGGCCCTTGTGCGTTTGTTTTGGGGGTCCAGAGATCTCATAATCAAAAGTCAATCTTCCTGGGTAAGTGTCATTCACGAATCTCATTGTCGCCTTTTAGCCTCCCCAGGTGGAATCCATTTTGACCATCGGCGCTCTAACCGCTTGCAGTTCATCCATTAATCATCATTCTTCTTTCCCTCCGTACTGCTCACTCTCCGTCCATCAGCTCCATCTGCATTAAATTCATAGTCTAAATCCCTGACGATTTACACTCAGCTGCTTCCTCAAAAGAAGATCCTCAAAGGAGTCAATCCTCACTTCCAAAAACCATTGGGAGTGTGGATTGCACAGGAATGTGATGGCTTCAACACTGGCCCGCTACGACGCCACACTGGTGGTGCGCTGATGGAGCGCTACTCTGTGAGGCCTTCGAACCTCCCACGTAGCAACCAGGCCGGATGTCTTCCTCAGGGGTCACCCATTGGCTTTTGGTGCGTAGCGCTCACGATTTGTATACACTCTGTCTGGCGTCATGGGCCCTCTTCCACATGCGCCGTCCAAGTGCCCATTGGCGATGCTCCTTCTCAATGTTCCCCAGAACTAAACTCTTGTGGTCTCCCGGTGCGGCTTTCCCCGCCGGTCTAGTCTCCCGCCGCAGGGCTAGTCTCGCATCTCACCTTACCCAACACCTCTCCAGGTAGAATCCATTTCAAACATCAGCGCTCCAACCGCTAGCAGTTCATCCATCATTCTTCAGTTTTCTTTCCCTCTTCACTGCTCACTCTTCGTCTCTGGACATCAGGATTGTGCGCGCTGCCTTCACTGCATCATCTCCATTTGCATTAAATTCATGCTCTGAATCCATGATGAGTTACACTGTGCTACTTCCTCAAAGGAGTTAATCTTCACTCCCGAAAACCATCCCTTGACCGCCCCCTGGTCGGAAGCAAAGTTCAAATCGGTGCTCTCTTCATGCAACTTCTCTCTACTATCCATTCCAGATAGGAGCAGTCATGGGGGCCGCCGCCCTGGGTCATACTCCGTCCTCCCTGCAGCGGCCGGGCCGCTGGTCCCTTTCTGCCTTTGCGTCCCAGATCAGACCAGACTCCGCAAATATCCTATCAGCCCCTCTCGTCCTGGGTATGCATACATTTCCTGGTGGTGGCATTCTCAGCCCTATTCATCTCTCCAGCAGCTGGGTCGCTGGTCCTCTACTGCCTTCACAACATACATCAAACCAGTCGCCGCATCCATCCTGGCAGCCCAACTTCCCTTAAAGGGATAGGCCACCGTTTTTACATACTGACATATGTTCTTACCTTACCTTAGACTAGTTGCTATGTACCTGTCTGATCTTTGTCCGTGCGCTCTGTCGTGCAAACGGAGCACAAACGGAGCACATACTTTATAGTTCCAAATCAGCTCCCGTTAGAAGCTACCATACTCTTCCACGTGTTCCCTATTTAAATACAGTTACGTGACGTGATACACTACAAAGTATAGTAACACAGAAATGTAACATGTCGATTTTCTCAGCAGATAAAAAGGGGAACTATAGTAATATTATAATACAAGGAGCACTACGTCCGCGCACTAACTCCTAAAGACTTCTCGCCCGCTCACTTCCGTCAATAGAAGCAGCGTGACTTGCAGTACGTCTTTAGGAGTTAGTGTGCGGACGTAGTGCTCCTTGTATTATTACACCACACAATATAGTTCCCCTTTTTATCTGCTGAGAAAATCGATATGTTAAATTTCTGTGTTACTATACTTTGTTGTGTAACACGTCACGTAACTCTATTTAAATATGGAACACGTGGAAGAGTTTGGTAGCTTCTAACGGGAGCTAATTTGGAACTATACAGTATGTGGAAGAGGCTCCGTTTGTGCTCCGTTTGCATGACAGAGCGCACGGACAAAGACCAGACAGGTACATATCAACTAGTCTAAGGTAAGGTAAGAACATATGTCAGTATGTAAAAACGGTGGCCTATTCCTTTAAGGGGATAATATTTTATGGTGCGGCTGGTTTGTCCGCCTCTTTCTTCTGACTGTAAGAAAACATACCATAATATTTCATTAGTTTTGAGTATATCCTCACAATCCAGTTAAACAGTTCAATATTTAACTCATGTGGATGGATGGATGGACGGACGTACACTTCTTAATCCTCAACGTCCCCTCGAAGGCAGAAGAACCCTCTCAGCCAGGATAGAGACTTCTGGACAAAGTTTCTCTTTTTCTTGGGTGTTGTGGCACCTAAAGAAACAACCTCTATTGGTTAACGGTTTACATGCTGGTAATAAAGTAAGAAGAGTGACTCTTACCTAGTGAGGGCTGGAGTGTTGTCTGGTCTTGTTGCATTGTTTTTTGCAACAGATGTTTCCATTTAAAGCTGAGGAGAGATATTTACAGTGGTAAATGCTTTTATAACGTCTCAAGATAAATAATGAATGCTTTGAATGTCTCACCTGTGAGACATCTGTAGGTCTCCAAGCTTCTCTGATGTCCCACATCCCTCACTGTAGACACATGATTGTGTTAGAGATTTCCACTGACCTAACAGCTGCCAACACTTCTTTAATCATTAGAACAGGAGAGTTTCCTCACCTAGTACCACAGTTCTGCTGGATCTTCCTAAGCGCCAGCACAGATGGAACCTCTGGGGTGACAGTTCGTGTCTTCTTTTTCTTTGGATTTTGAACATCCATCTTTGGCTTCTCTGCTGCCTGATTCTCAGCACTATAGAAAACATTTGTGTGATCACTTTTTGTACATAAGATGTACAGCAGGAAAAAACAGTGTATGATTCTTCCAAAACAGCTGTTCCAAACATTCAGTATCAGGCAATCAAAAAAAGCCACCCAAAAAGGTGGAGTGCTAGCTAACTTGGAGCTACATATTTTTCTTTTTTGGCGAAAAAGAAAAAGAATGTTGGGTTCTATATAGTTTTTAAATGAATGTATTTTGGGCCTCAAATATTTTTCGGACAGAAAAATGTAAGAGGACTCCTTCATTTACCCAATCAGCAGTCAGCCCTATTGACTTGATATGGAGAAATATTTTATGATATTTGTCTTTTGATCATTTCAGACCAAACACAATCTTTTTCTACTCATTACCTGTGGAGCACTTTGAAAACTATCTGCAAATGTGCTATATAAATATAGGGGATTAGATTTAACTAAGTCTCACCTCGTCTTCGGTTTGTGATCCTGTATGGTGTTTTCTGCTGCGGCTGCTTTGACCAAAATGACCATAGGAGTTTTACGAGGAGACTTCTGCACCAGGTCAGCCTTCTCTTCAGGGATTGGTTTAGCCGTCTTAATCTTCTGACTGTAAACAACAACACAAACATAGATGAGTCCATCATTAACTTTGAGCATATTTCCAAATCAAGCAGAATTGTTTAAACCGGTTCAGCTGCTCAACGTTTAAACAGAAAACACAACGTTTCTTCATAACTTCATATGTGTATTTCTTCTTTTCAAAGAGAAGTTTAATATTTGCTTGTTAACATGTTTTGTTCAGAAGATGGCTCGCAGTTAGCAGCTGAAAAATGTACAGCTGGCGTACCTAACTTTCAAACCACTATGTATCTAAGGTCCTCCTAACATACAGTATTGCGGTTTTATCACTAGTTCTCACATGCATGTATTTTTTTACGAATTCTTGGCGGAAACAGTTTGGTTCTATATAGTTTTCAAATGCATAAATTTTTGGCCTTTTTTCCCCCTTTTGGCTTTTTCAGACAGAAAAGTGAAAAAGAGAGGACCACCCGACTCAGCCAATCAGCTGTCAGTCAAATATTGACTAATATTGCACCTTCTTACAAGTCTGCAAGACAACACAGTGTAGTGCATTCAATCGTGAAGTGGAACAAAATTTATTGGATAATTTAAACTTTAAAAAAAAATAAAAAACTGAAAAGTGGGGCGTGCAATATTATTCGGCCCCTTTACTTTCAGTGCAGCAAACTCACTCCAGAAGTTCAGAGAGGATCTTTGAATGATCCAATGTTGTCCTAAATGACTGATGATGATAAATAGAATGCACCCGTGTGTGATCAAGTCTCCGTATAAATGCACCTGCTCTTTGATAGTCTCAGGGTTCTGTTTAAAGCACAGAGAGAACCATGAAGACAAAGGAACACACCAGGCAGGTCCGAGATACTGTTGTGGAGAAGTTTAAAGCCGGATTTGGATACAAAAAGATTTCCCAAGCTTTAAACATCTCAAGGAGCACTGTGCAAGCAGTTATATTGAAATGGAAGGAGTATCAGACCACTGCAAATCTACCAAGACCCGGCCGTCCCTCCAAACTTTCATCTCAAACAAGGAGAAGACTGATCAGAGATGCAGCCAAGAGGCCCATGATCACTCTGGATGAACTGCAAATAACTACAGCTTAGGTGGGAGAGTCTGTCCATAGGACAACAATCAGTCGTGCACTGCACAAATCTGGCCTTTATGGAAGAGTGGCCATTTCTCAAAGATATCCAATAAAAGTCTCTTAAAGTTTGCCACAAGCCACCTGGGAGACACACCAAACATGTGGAAGAAGGTGCTCTGGTCAGATGAAACCAAAATCAAACTTTTTGGCCACAATGCAAAACGATATGTTTGGCGTAAAAGCAACACAGCTCATCACCCTGAACACACCATCCCCACCTCAGCTGTAGTTATCTGCAGTTCATCCAGAGTGATCATGGGCCTCTTGGCTGCATCTCTGATCAGTCTTCTCCTTGTTTGAGATAAAAGTTTGGAGGGACGGCCGGGTCTTGGTAGATTTGCAGTGGTCTGATACTCCTTCCATTTCAATATAACTGCTTGCACAGTGCTCCTTGAGATGTTTAAAGCTTGGGAAATCTTTTTGTATCCAAATCCGGCTTTGAACTTCTCCACAACAGTATCTCGGACCTGCCTAGTGTGTTCCTTTGTCTTCATGGTTCTCTCTGTGCTTTAAACAGAACCCTGAGACTATCAAAGAGCAGGTGCATTTATACGGAGACTTGATTACACACGGGTGCATTCTATTTATCATCATCAGTCATTTAGGACAACATTGGATCATTCAAAGATCCTCACTGAACTTCTGGAGTGAGTTTGCTGCACTGAAAGTAAAGCACGCCCCACTTTTCAGTTTTTTTTTGTTAAAAAAGTTTAAATTATTGAACAAATTTCATTCCACTTCACGATTGTGTCCCACTTGTTGGTGATTCATGACAAAAAAATTAAATTTTATATCTTTATGTTTGAAGCCTGAAATGTGGCAAAATGTTGAAAGGTTTAAGGGGGCCGAATACTTTCGCAAGGCACTGTATATATATATATATATATATATATATATATATATATATATATAATATAGATAGAAGAGTGGTTACAGTGGATCCCCGGAACAACCTCGGACATCTCGGTCCAGAAATGTGCAGTGCTAGGAACAGCAAAGATACTGCGCAGAACCCTCAAGCTCCCAGGCCTCTGGTAGAGGACCCGAGCTTAGAGAGGGATAACCGCCCGCGGAGGGCCAAAGGTGAGTGGACAATTTTATTTTATTTTATTTTATATATATTTATATAGATACACATATATTAGGGCTGGGCGATATAAACGGTATAAGCGGTATGCGATATAAATTTGGCCAACGGTAGAGATTTTTGTTATACTGGCATATATTGGCGTAGGTCATTACGTCATCAAATGGCTGGGTTGCACGCATAGACTGTATATATTAACGGACAGAGGCACGCATATCTCCGCCGTTCTAACTAATGGGCCAAAAAATGTGCTCTACTGGAGCTATCCAAAATGGCAGCGAGTGGTCCCGCCCACAAGAAAATTGTGAAAAAACGCATCTGCGCATGCGTCAGGCGGCGCAGCTCCATTCATTTGAACAAGAGACTTCAAAAATTCACAGTAAGTAAACTAGAGTGGACCAAAAAAATTCACACCCCTCAGCATTGACACACATGTGGAACGGAGCTTTGGGCCAAGAGCCAACTTTTGGTCCATACTGTATATAAATAAAGATTACTTACTAACTTACTTACTACTGTAAAGACGTTTTCGAGAGGTCTGCCAATGCTATATGGTAGCATTGGCTAATTCTTCCCCTGGGTCCACCCCCATCGGCCCGGGGTGGTATTGCAAGCATGTCAGCGCAAGTCATTTTGGCCACTTTTGAGCTGGGACCCGCCCCCACTGGTTGCACGTGACGAAAGTGCTCCGAGGGACAGGAAGTACATTTCCCCACTAAGAACAATGTAAACATCCACTGATTCCGAGTTAAAATGCTCTTTTTCTGTGGTGTGTACAGTTGTGGCAACTGCTCATATCAAGTGGGGAACCTATGGAGTCTCTACTTTGCAAAAAAATATTTATCTAACGGCTGTCAATTTTTAGGAAAATGCCTAATAAGGAACGGGAGAAATGCGCTAGCATTAGCTTGCGTAGCATCTGCGGCCACAGCGATAGCTGACAGTCTTGACTTCGCTTACGTTCATAGATACAATGCAATATTTTTGTGTGGTATACGGTTGTAGTAGCCGAGGCCACAGAAAGAAAGAACTGTTAAATACATTTTCTAATTGCAGCCCCCGTTGTTAGCTCACTCACTGCTGTTAGCTTAACGCTATTAGCTCAACGCTACGGAGTTAAGCTAATAGCTGGAGTTCCGTACTTTTGGTTATTTACCATATATATATATATGTGTGTGTGTAAATAAAAGGCGTGGCATGTGCTATATAGATAAAGTGGATTGGATTGAAGTCTCACCTTTTCCTGGGTGGGTCCTCTTTCTCTAAGTGGATGATATTTTCTGGAGCAGCTGGTTTCACCAAAATGACCTTCGGAGATTTTGATGGACTTTGCAGAATGAGGTCATCCTTCTTTACAGAGACTAGTTTGTCCGCCTCATTCTTCTGTCTGTAAGCAAGCATACCGTAATATTTTGTTATTTTTGAGCATACATCCTCACAATCCAGTTAAACAGTTCAATATTTAACCAGAAACTAAGATAATTAAACAAAATGGCACGTACACGGTTTGTACATCTTAGTGTTATTTTTACATTGTCTGCAATAAAAGCATTGTGGCCATATTTTAAAAATGTCTTTTGAGCTGAATAGTCTTCAAAGTAGCTGTTATCAAAGGGATAGACTATAACTTTTGGCCACTGATTCCTGGATGGCTAAGCCTGGCCTTAGCCATCCGTAAACTCAGGTCAATTATCATTTCCCTACTATGGAATGAGTATGATGGTGTGTTAAGACCAGGCTAGTGTTGATCTAATGCTTTTGAAAAATGACCCAACTTTTAAACAACACATGATTTATAACAGACCAAATAAGACTCACCTTTTCTTCTGACGGTCATCATCCTGGAAGTCCACGATGTTTTTTGCAGTGGCCGGTTTAACTGAAAGGATTCGAGGCGTTTGTGAAGAACAATGTGGAATTGGGTCAGCCGTCAATTCTGTCACTGGTTTGTCTGTCTCATTCTTTGTGCTGTAGAAATCAACATAAAAATACAAGATGAGCTTGGACTGTCCTGTGTAACCTGTAGTGTTGTGGATATGTCCACTGTGTATGGAGCTATAGCCAAAGTTCAGACTGGAGGACTGCAATCCTCTGAACTCTTGGAATCGGATTGATAGACGCTCACTTACACCCACAATCCATTCAAAAATTACAAGGCTGCACGACATATCTTGCCCGAGTCATAACAAAGATGGCGTTGGTCCGAGAAGGAAGGAAGTATAGAAGTGGCCCTTTTATTCTGTTTTAAACTATGTGGATATTCTGCACAAGAAAACAGGATTGGACTAGTCTAATTGTCTAATAAATATAATACAAGAGGATTCCTATGGAATCCAGGATTTATCTGGTTCGTCTTCACTGTCGTCCTTGTCCCACTACTATGCACCTGTTCCTCTGCAAATCAACAATCAACTTGCGTGTCTGCATTTATAGTGCTTCACTCGGCTTTCAGCTCATGTTGCAATCATCATGCATCATGTAAATAAAAACCCAGGCTCAAACATGGATTAGGACCCAAGTTTCTGTCCATACTGTGTCTGACTTATACCACATATTCTTGTATGAGTCAGACATAGTTAAAATGTCATCACTACTATCTTAGCTCTGCACTCAGACATATTGTACATCTGGCCCTAAAAGAGCTCTATCTATCTGACATGTCAGAAATACAATCCTCTTGAAACGGCGGGCAGACACTAAGATAATGTGCGCCCAGAGAGGGGGGAGAAGCTCATCCCCCAGGATCAACACAAGGGCCCACTACACTGTTGCAGTGGAGTATGACACAGTCCTAAGGGTTAGGGTGCTTCCTGATTCAGGTTGAACCAGGAAGCACAGTGACATGTGTGAAAACTCCCTAGACATGTGCAAATGGAGCGAGACTTACTGAATAAAAGGATGTTTGAGGATCTGAGCAGGAGTGATCCTCTGAGCAGGGTCCATGTGGAGCATCTGCTTGATGAGGTTAATGCATCCAACCAGCTCAGATTGTTGGTAATTCTCCTTAATAGACAAACAGGACTGGAAAAAGAGATAATTGTATCAAAAGAGAAATCATAAAAGTGATAACACATGGTAAACACACATGACAGAGAGGACTTCTATAGAAATAGAATCAAGGTCCTTCATTAGCACTAGCATGGAAATATCAAATACAACTTGTTGAAAATAATTTGTTTGTATTGTAAATTCTATCATTATTGCCATATTGAAATAATGAAAGACCCCTAGCACACAACGCTTTGTATTATAATGTATTATAATTAATTATTTGATTATACAACACATACCTCAACCAGTGCATCCACAGAATCATATTTCTCTGTTTCATATGTCTGAATCACAGCAGACAATATTCTGGCAAAATCCTTATACTCTGCAATGGACTAAAAGAAAAGAGGATATGGATGTGTTAGCCTTAGCAGCAGAACAACACATATGTTTTAAGACATAAAAGAAAGACATTTACTTTTAACTTCCAATGCTCTTTGTCCTTTATGAAATAATTGTTGACTTTGACACCCTCGTCCAGAACGGCATCAGAAGGCTGACCGAACAATTTGACCATAGTCCTCAGCTAAAATATCAAGAAAAGTGTGGTTAACAAATATTTTTCGTCCAGAATGTTTGAATGTTTTTAGGCGACATTAGACTCACAGTTTCATATTCAGTCTTGCTGGGAAACAGATCAATCCTGATGAGCATTCTGACCAACAAGCAGCCCAAAGACCAGACGTCTATGGCAGGATTGAACGGGAGTCCAAGAATAATTTCAGGAGCTCTGCATTGAACAAATAAAAAAAGGAAATAATACTTGAATACTCATCACACTCGAATATACACTGGCTTGCAAAAGTAATAGTACATGGTGGAACCAAATACAGCAAACTGTTTTTACCAGGCCTAGTGTTACTAGGGCAAAGGTATATAATTTCAAACCTTTATTTATTCATTTTCATACTTTTTTCTCCAATATATTGATTAAACAGATCTTACTGAACACTTTAGTTTTACTTACTTACTTAGCACCACAAAGACCACAGAAAATAAATGTGAAGTGAAGGCAAAACAATATTTCTTTACAATACAAAAACCTGAAAAGTGGGGCTTGCTCATTCCTAATGACTACTGAATGCTCACATCTCGCACTAACAATTAAATGGTGTAAAGTAATGTCTATTCTACTCTTAGTAAAAAAACGCTCCATTCCCAGTGTCAAATATGCTATGGCCTACTACGCTTTGGGCCTGTTTTCTGCTTGTTTTTAAAAACATCACAGTTGTCTGTTACTTTGTTGTGGTCTTTCAGAATCTTTGTTTGTGGTCATGAAATAAAAAATGTGCGAAGGTTCAAGTTGCATTGACACTTTTGCAATCCCAACATCGAAATACTATTCATCCCGAGGGAAATACATTATTTATTGTTTCACACAGTGGCCCCTACCTGTGACTGACATGCTGCACATTCATTCCAGGTTCCGCCTTCTTCCTCCGAACCACAGCACCAAAACCTGCCAGTTTGAAAATGGGCCTGTCTACGCCGCAGACCCAGATGTTTTCTGCCATGACACCGGTGTGGATGATGCCCCTGGACTCCAGTGCCTTTAAGGCCTCGGCCATCTGCAATAGTTTTTATATTGGCTCATAAAGCTTGTTTCAGGTTGTTCAGTTTGACAGTTGCTTGATGGTCTTACATGTCGGACGATGTACCGGATTTGGGCGAAGGCCAGAGGGCTCTCTATTTCCATGACTTCAAGTAAGCCCATGCGGAACTCCTCCATCACGATCACCTGCCCACAACTGGTGTCCCACGTCTCCAGGAACCTGACTAAGTTTTTGTGGTCCATGTCTGCCTCTGCAATTTTCTGAAGCAGCCGAACCTAAGTGGCAGAGGTGGAAAAAATGATAATTATAGAGAAGTATAAAGTGTAGATATGAAAGTAAAAAGTAAAGTAAAAGTACTGAAATCATTACTGGACATTTTAAACAAAGTCTTTACATTTAATACAGCTTTCAGAAACTTACAGAGAATTTAATTTAAAAATCCCCGATGGACAAGAGCTAGTGAACTCTTTGTGTCAAATTGAGCAAACACTTTGCGAGCTGTCTTGAGAAATCTGATATTTAAGTTTAAATGTTGCCTTTATGATTTAAAAAAAATCTGTGATCATTTTATTGTCCAGTGTTGTTTGCAGCACCTCGCTACACCTCGCTTCTTTGGAAACATTGGTATGACTGCCTCTTGAGAGGTTTTTATTGTCTGTGTCTGTGTTGGTCTGGACCTGGAGTCTGCAATAAAGTTATCTATTTATCTAATACAGACTTAGAATATGACAATAATATGCTCTTTGGGTTAATTGGAAATCTATCTGTACTAGTATGCACCTTATGTTCAATGTAAGCTAATACCCCACGGCTAATACCATCTGTAAATAATAATAATGTAGAGTTGACTCTAAAGTTTGATTCTGCTATTACTTACCTCTCGCTGAGTCCTGTTGTTGGAATGTGGAATCTTGAGGGTCACACATTTGACAGACCCAGTCGGTTTCACCAGGACCATCTGCCCAAACTGTCCATTCCCCAACATTTTGGTGACTTCATATCCCTCTGGGAGGATTTTTGCTACCTCATTTTGAGTGAGAGAACTAAGGACAGATCCAAACAGTTACTTAGTGGGGAATCTTCCACTTTATGGGCACTTTTTCTCTAAATAGAACATTTCTTACGTGCACTCATCTTCCGTGTCCAAGTGGAGCTGTTTAGTGGAATTATCTGCGTTTTCTCCAGAAATGTCCATGAATAGATTTTCCCCACTGTTGACAGAAAATATTGTTTTTTCAAGACATGCACTGGCTGCTGAGATTGAAGCAAAAATGAAATGAACGCACAGTTTCTGGATAAACGGATGAACAAGGATGGCTTTAGGCGTTATCCTCTCATCTGCGTCCATCTTCAGCATCTCTTCGAGCAAGTCTATAGCTGCCTCGACGTCCTGGGCTTTCTGGCTTTTATGCACAAAATGTTGCTATAAGGAAGAAATGGTAAACAGTCAGAATTTGCTCCGCTGAAAAAGAAACGTGAAGGACAGCCTACCTTGACAAGTTCATGAAGTGAATTGAAGGCCTCTGTTTGGTAGCTGGAGTAATCACATGTTTCCAAATTCTTCATCTCGTTGGCCGACTAAAAGTAAGTTGTAAGTTTTGAACTATGATTATGTTCTTGTGGTACAATTCGAGGGAATATTGCATTTACCTTTAATTTCCATTCATTATCAATAAAATTGTAATAGTGCTTGGTTCGACGTCCTTGATTCAGAAAATACAACGATGGTTTTTCCAACAGCTTATCCATAACCTTCAACTAAATCAAGAAAAGGACACATTCGTACAAGAACACATCTTTCAAAATTCATAGGAGCACAATGTTGGACTTACTGTCTCATATTGATTTGTGTTTGGGAATAAGTCATATCCCAACATCATGTGAGCCATTATGACTCCTAAGTTCCACACATCCAGAGGTTCACCCCATGGGCAATTTAGTATGATCTCAGGAGGTCTGTGAAGAGAGGACATAGTAGCAGGGCCATCAAGAACAGTTGACTGGATGGACTGGAGTGGAGTTAGACATCTTACCTGTAGTTCACATGCTGCAAAACAACCCCTCGTTGGGTCCTGGATGCGAGCCGAGACATCCCAAAGTCAATCAGTTTAACCTGCAGAGGATTCTGAATGGCATTCACCACCATCACATTCGGCAATGACAGGTCTGCATGGACGATTGACCAGTCTTTGAGTACGCTCAAAGCTGTGGCCACCTACACAGAAAGAGGATCAGAAATGTTCGGAGCATTGAAGCTTTAACTAATACAGAAAACTGTTTTTAATTGCTACAGAAAATGTAAGCTTTTCCACTTTGGCACTATTTCAAATTAGCCTCAAAGACGCTCAGCAATCCCACGCACTTTGAAATTAAGTCACATGAAGACATTGTCTTGGGTAATCTTACTCTTGAAAACGCTTGGTGATTGGTCATTGCTGAGCTCCATTATTGAGGTAGTTTGCGTGAGGTATGGAAAGAACAACCTTATATTATAAACTATTTTACTACTGCATTATATTAGTTAAGTTATGTACACAAATATTGAGGGCAATAAAAAAGGTCATATGGTACAAAGTATGCAAGTGCAAGTGTTTCTTTTGTGTATATAACATTTATAATTTCGAATTATGTAAATGTAACTCAGAGTTATTTATGTTTTTTGATATTCTACTTTTGTTTATTGTACACATATTTGGTCGAAATAAACATGGCTTATTATTATTATTATTATTATTAAGTGAGCACACAAACACTAACGCCAATACTTGTAAAGTTTGTACCTGTTGAAGAACACAGCTGACCTCCGAGAGGCTGAGGTCAAACTTTTGGCAGTATTGCCACATACTCATGTCGAGTTTTTCAAAGACCATGGCATTCCCCATAGGAGTCGGAAATGACTCGATGAACTTGACAAAGTTTTTCTGGTCCATCCCTTCTGCCATCAACCGACGCATCAGAGCAATCTGAAAATACAGCAAAATGTAGTTATATGCATTGATTATGAATCTATTTAAATATTTCATAATTAAAGTTGAATAACATTCTAAAGTTAAAAACAAGACAAATTAAAGCCGCAAGCGGCGGCAAACGGCCCTCGCCGCACCGCGCGCACCACCCCGCACTGCGTACACCACCCCGCATCAAGCCGCTCCGCACCACGCCGCCCCGCACTACGCCGCCCCGCACTACGCCGCCCCGCACCACGCCGCCCCGCACCACGCCGCCCCGCACTACGCCGCCCCGCACCACGCCGCCCCGCACCACGCCGCCCCGCACTACGCCGCCCCGCACTACGCCACACCACACCGTACCACGCAGCACCGCGCAAAGGAGGTGGGGCCGGCGTGTGATGATTTGTTGCTGTAGCCATAGAAGAACGTTAGTCAAATTGTAATAAATATGATGATTAGAGCTGTTTGGCACCCCTTGTAAAACGTTGCCTCAATCTGTAGGGGGCGCTAATGGGCCAATGTCAAATATTTCACTTTCACCTGACCTAAACCCTGGAGTTGAACATTGGATTCAAGTTTTGTGCAAATCAGACTTTGTTTGTGCAAACGGGAGCAAAATTAATGTTGTCCAAAACGACCAAAAAACACTCACATTTTGCCGCTCCGCTGCTCAAACAACTTGTCACTGATCAAAAATCCCTTTGGTCATTTTGAAGGTACATCTGTTGAGATGATGTGGAGCAATTTTGAGGCAAATCAGTGAAACGGCCGAGGAGGAGTCGCTTTCCAACCGACACAAAATAATTGCGGATCATTTTTCCATTTTGCAGTGAAATTTATGGGCTTCCTGTTTGTCAGGGGGCGGAGCCATGGTAACATTTTGGTCTTATCTTGACTTGAGGAACATGTGTACCAAATTTCATGGCTCTACGACAAACTTGACCTCTGAAACTCCCATTGGCTGTTGTAGGTGGTGCTGTTCTGGCATTTTTTGAGTCCCATAAAAATAAACACCCAAATATCAAATTTTCACCAGGTCTGATGTTTGGGCAAAATTTTACAACTTTTCATACATGTTCAGGGGGTAAAATTAAGGCTCAAAGTGCAGAATTTGACATCTCTCGAGCAAAAACAATAGGCCCTTTCCCCGTTCGGGGCTCGGGCCTAATAACACCCCCATGGGATTTTTCGGAGGTCAAGTTTTTCGTAGAGCCATGCAATTCGGTACACATGTTCCTCAAGTCAAGACATGAAAAAAATATTATTATGGCCCCGCCCTCTGACAAACAGGAAGCCCATAAATGTCACTGAAAAAATGGAAAAATGAACAGCAATAATTTTCATACATGTCGGTTGGAAAGCGACTCCTCCTCGGCCGTTTCACCGATTCGCCTCAAAATCGCTCCAGATCATCTCAACACATGTACCTTGAAAATGACTTCGGCAATTTTTCATCAGGGAAACTTTGTTTGAACAGGGGAGCTGCAAAATGTGACCTTTTTTTGGCTGTTTTGGACAAGATTAAATGTGCTCCCGTTTGCACAAACAAAGTCTGATTTGGACAAAACTTTAATACATTGTTTAACTCTAGGGTCTAGGTCAATTGAAAGTGAAATAAAAGAATTTGGCTCATTAGTGCCCCTACAGATGGAGTCAAAGTTTTTCATACTAAAAACTCTGAAATAGTCTGTAGGGGGCGTTAATGAGTCAAGTTCAATTATTTCACTTTCAAATGACCTAGACCCTAGAGTTGAACCATGGATTAAAGTTTTGTGCAAATCTGAATTTGTATGTGTAAACGGGAGCAAATAGAATGTTGTGAAAAACGGCCAATAAACACTCACATTTTGCCGCTCCGCTGCTCAAACAACGTTTCACTGATCAAAAATCCCTGAGGTCATTTTGATGGTACATGTGTTTAGACAATGTGGAGTGATATGGAGGCCAATCGGTAAAACGGCCGAGGAGGAGTCGCTTTCCAACCGACATGTATGAAAATGATTGCGGATCATTTTTCCATTTTGCAGTGAAATTTATGGGCCTCCTGTTTGTCAGAGGGCGGAGCCATGGTAACATTTTGGTCTTATCTTGACTTGAGGAACATGTGTACCGAATTTCATGGCTCTACGACAAACTTGACCTCTGGAACCCCCATTGGCTGTTGTAGGTGGCGCTGTTCTGGCATTTTTTGAGTCCCATAAAAATAAACACCAAAATATCAAATTTTTCACCAGGTCTGATGTTTGGGCTAAATTTTACAACTTTTCCTGCATGTTCAGGGGGTAAAATTAAGGCTCAAAGTGCAGAATTTGACATCTCTCGAGCAAAAACAATAGGCCCTTTCCCCGTTCGGGGCTCGGGCCTAAGTAAAGCGGAAAGCAGCGTTGAATGGCCCTCGCAGCACCGCGCACTGACGTCCCCATCTGCATACGATGGGAGAAACACTATTATTGATAATGCTGATGATCAGTGAGTGTGTGTCTCTGTTTAATAACTTGGGAATATTCTTTCGTCTCTCTAGAAATTAGCAAAAAACCTGACTCTGCCGCACGCACACCGTCTAACTGAAAAAAATTCTACAGCTAACTTTTGATGCTACACTTGTTTACAGTATTTCGATTTTTGAGCCAAATCTGTGAAACTGCAGAGGCTGGTTTGTTTCGTAACTAAATGTTTTCCTCCCTATGTACACTTTTGCCGCACTCTGTAGGGGGCGCTATGGCTGCAATTAAATGCTTTCCCCTTTCAACTGACCTAGATCCAAGAGTTGATCAACCGATTCATGTTTGAGTTATTTATGTTTTTTGATAGTCTACTTTTGTTTATTGTACACTTACTTGGCCGTTTGACTGTAAACATGGAACTAATGAGTTCCATTAGTATGAGTAAACAGGAGCACATTTTAAATGATCAAAATTGGGGGAAAAAATGAAGATTTGCTGCTCCGCTGTTGTGCACATTGTTTAAACAATCACAATTTTGTAGCTAACTTTTAATGCTACATGTGTGTAGATGATATGGAGCAATTTTGACAAATATGTGTACCAAATATTGTAGCTCTAGGACAAACTAAATGCGAAACGGCAAATCTAATTGGTGGCGTTATTGCGTCATTTTTTTAGTCTTCAAAAAAAAATGTCATTGCCAGAACTGATTTTACAACTATTCATTGCAACTAATTGCAACTGTTCACGCACGTTCAGGGGTCAAAATGAGGTTCTAAGCGAAAAGATTATTTTTTTGATAAGACGCACCGAACCGTTCACTATTGTGAATGGCGCCCAGGCCTAACAAGTACAAAAGTGACTGCATGCAGTTGTGCTTGAAAGTTTTACACATCCTGAGAAAAATGTTCATGTCTTTGCCATTTTAATGTTAACACATTCACTTTTTGTTCCACTGATTGTTTATTGTGTCTAATAATAGGGGACCCTATCTTCAATTTATGACATGATTGGATCTGTGGAGATGTCAAATATGCAGTTAATGCAAGGCATTTCCATCCAGTTTCCATCTGTAGTCCCATGGGGTTAGGATCACAAGGAGTTAAACACAGACTGTTTATGAATCTCTGATTTTATGAAATACTGAAAATGGTGCACCACGTACAAGGTGTGGCTTCAATAGAACAGAACGGACAGAGGAAAACGGCAAAATCACCACTATGGCAACGCAAACGCAGACAGTAGAAAATGCCAATAGTGCTTTTAAGCTGGTGGAAACGTATCAGGCTTACCTCACGGTCGGTGTTTTGCTTGAAATAGGGGACTTTAATGGCCACTTCCTCCTGCGAGTCCCTGACGAAACAAAGGACCACTTGTCCATATCCTCCACGAGTCAATCTTTTAACAAACTGGTATTTTTCAGGAATATAACGCTCAATCACATCAGCACTCATCTTGAAACAAAAAAATGAAAACATGTTTTATATTTCATATCATATCATCATGTCACTTTACTTTTTTGAATCTCACTGGAGTTGAATATTTGAAACACAGTGCTATTACTTAAATAGTCGTACATTTGATTCTTTGTTTTTACACATTTGAAGACTTGACTGGCAGTATATTTGGAAAGTTGACTGGGCTTTACAGTTCTATTATGATGCTAACAGTTACGAGTTTCGAATTTGATAATATTGTGTTGCAATATGTTGATATCTCAATAATGTCTGGGCCTGAGTCTGTTGGTACGTATTGTATTGTTAGCTAGCCAGGCTGACCCTTACTGCCCAAGTAACACAGTAATTCGTCATCATGCATCAATGTAATGAGTAGAAAGTAGCCTACAGATATGTGAGTGTATGTGAGGTTTGTGAGTGTGGAGTATAAGTCAAATTTAAACATATTTTTTGCAGTTTTATCAAATTGCAACACACAGAAATATTGCTGTAAATATTAGCCTAGCATAAGCTGTGTTTAAAATCAACAGTTACTGTCTCAGAAAGTTGACGCTTTCACAAACAATAAACTACTGTAACTTGTTGTGATTACACAGTACTTACCCTTGAAGCGTAAACAAAGATATTTGAACTCAAACGCAGAGAATTTGACACACAACTGTCCTGACTGAGGCAGTGGCTGCTTATGCTGAGACTTCAGTTGATCTGGTTACCATGGAGACATAAATCTTATCATCATTCTAATAATGACATAATGGTGATGTAATGGAATGTGGCCAAATACATTACAATTTCAAGTTACATTATTCTCTGCTATGTTCCTTTATGAATTAAAACATGAATCAACACTTCAAACGTGTATTTCTCACTTCATTAGTTTTAAATTATTGTACTCAATTATTTTCTTTAAGTATATGCCGTTTGCTTAATATATATTTTTAAATATTTAGTTGTATATAATGCATACAATGTATTGATTAAAGTGACTTAAAGGTTTAACCTTGTAGTGCCAAAGTAGCAGAAATACTGAGCAGCTTCTGAATTAACGTCTCCCTAGTTTTTTCTTACATATTTTCCTTCTCTTCATTTCTGTTGAATTTGATGTCGTCTCATCTTTCTTCAGGGCCCCACTTGTTTGTCTGAAGAGTTTCTGAAAAAACCTAAAGAGTTATAAATTAAGCTAAACTAAACAAGCATTATGCTAACGTTATGCTAGCGTTTTTGTTTAGCATTGTAATCTATGTTCAGTTAACATCAACAAAAGTGTTGTACAGATGAGCTGTTATGTTGTTTATCACAAGCTTTAGTTTGGACAAAGTGCAGTGTTTTTTTAGAATGTGTTAAGAATTATATTCAACCTAAACTGTGAAACCGATATATATAATTTAGACTCTTTACATGCAAAATGACACAAAGACTTTTTTATTATTTTCATGATAATATCTTTCTGTCCTTATTCACAATATTTTATTTGAGGTTTTTTACAGCTGTGAGCCAATATCATCATTATAACAATAAAGGCTTGATACTTCTTACTTTGTGTGTAATGAGTCTATTAGTTTCACATTTGTGATATACTGATAATAGCACGTGTGTTATCTGTCTATAAGTGATACCGGAGTTCACCCTTAGAGGGCGCACTCGCAATGTTCAGAGCTAAGTGCTCAGTGTTGAGACATAACTATGTTGGAACCTGTGCTTATACGATGTCGGAGTAAACGGGCAAGTTCATCAGAGATGTTTCTGTCGTTATTACTGGCCACGATGCAACAACATTGTAAGTAGAATTACAGTAAATGGACTTTTGAACAATTTTGTAATCCAAGTTTTTGTACATGATGCAGAGTTACTTAGACAACTGACAAAAAACCTTTCAAACACAAGGAGCTAAATATTACAGAGCTATTTTACATGAAGGTGGCCACACTTCATGTGAAAGCTGGATCCACTTTGACTTCAGAAGCTGAGCAGGGAGTAGCCTATAATACATCCATGGGAGTAGCCTGGTTATCATTGTGATGGGAGATCTCTGATAAAGAGGCCTCGGTGGAGTGACTGCAACTTTTAAGGACCAAAACATTGTTGTGTCAAGGTGTCACCCCTTGCCCAGAATGAGGATGGTGTGTGGGTGAATGTTTGGATGCACCGATGGCACATACTGTGTGCCCCAGGGCAGCGTCCAAAAACAACACTTTATAGAACCGGTTTAACCTTTGAGTCGTGTTCAGGTCCAATTAGAACGTTTTGCACATTTAAACACTCATAAAATTGTTTTTTTACATCTCATTGCCATCCATCCATCCATCCATTTTCTTCCCCTTAATCCATTTCTGGGTCGGGGGGGGGGTGGCAGTCAGTGTTACAGTGTTATATTGTTATAGTGCGATGTTGGCACTACTTTCTAGTGCGGAAGGTTACGCAACATTTAAATAAAGGCGGAGCCAATTGAGAAATCACACAGTATGGCTGCCCGCATGAAAATAGTCACCTGTCTCGTGTCTTGTGTCACTGCTAACTATCATGTCTGAAGAAGACCGGGGCACGACTTCCCGTGTGCGACATGCAGAGGAGTCAACAGGTTATGGGCCCAGGCAAGCCCCGAGCACAGCGCTACACGGGCGCGGACTGCCGCCGAGGTTTGACGGAGACGAAGCCCGCTACCACATTTGGGAGGCAAGGTTTTTAGCGTACCTAAAAACGATTGGGCTAAAAGATGCTATCCTTGGAGGTGCGCTAGCGGCAGCTAATCCAGCAGAAGCAGCGGAGGCTGGTAGGAAAAATGAACTGGCATATGCAGAACTGTGTGGATGTTTGGATGATAAGACACTAGTGCTAATCCTGTATGAAGCGCCAGATGATGGAAAGAAGAGTTTGGAAATCCTGCGGCCGCCATTTTGAGTCAGAAGAAAAGCCGCGAATCGTCGGGCTTTACACAGAGCTCACCAATGTGCTAATGGCTGATGGCGAAGAGCTAGCGGGCTATCTCGCACGTGTTGAGAAGATAGTAGCCGCACTGAATAGAGCTAAAGAGACCCTCAGTGATTCACTATTGGTGGCGATGGTGTTAAAAGGACTTACAGATGAATACAGCCCCTTCTCTGTCCACGTCACACAAACAAGAGAAGCGTTAACCTTCAATGAGTTCAAAGCCAGATTGAGAAGCTTCGAGTGCTCTCTTCGCTACCGCGGCAGACCCAGAACAGATGAGGTAATGACTGCAAACTACAAGTCATTCAAACCAAAAGTCAAAGACTACAAAGACAAGAAATACTTCAATGGCGAATGCTTTATTTGTGAAAAGGTTGGTCATAGAGCAAGAGACTGCCGAAACAAAGACAAGAAAACACAGCGGAACTCCAAAGTGGCCACGGTTCAAGACACTGGACAGCATGAAGAGGCGTTTGTACTCAGGGCGAGTGAATGGAGACCTCACTGTGTCCAACCGGAGGGTCTTCTCGTGGACAGCGGTGCTTCTGCCCACATCATGACCCATGAAGAAGCCTTCATTAGGTTTGATGAAACGTTCCGGCCTCAGAACCACGTCATGCAGCTGGCAGATGGGACGCGGATCGCTGGCAGCGTTCTGAAGAAAGGCGACGCCCAGATCGAGCTGACCGAGAGCAATGGCAGAGTGGTGAGAGTCAAGCTCACAGATGCACTTTTGATTCCAGGATACCCACAGAACATTCTATCTGTGGAGGCAGCAACTTCGAAAGGAGCAAGGTTCAATTTTGAGCGGAACAACAACAAAATGATCCTTCCTGATGGTACGACATGTAAAATGAAGGTAAAGGACAGATTGTATTATTTGGACATTGTGAAGGAGAACAATGATTCATCTAATGTATGTTATGATCTGAAAACTTGGCATGAAATAATGGGTCATTGCAACTATGGTGATATTGAAAAACTTGAAGCTGTTGTAGATGGCATGAGAATCAAGGATAAAAAGTCCAAACCAAACCAGTGTGAAACATGTCTACAGGGAAAATTTACCCAAAGCAGGAGCAGGGAAGCAGATGTTAGAGCTAAAGCGCCCTTAGAGCTCATACATTCAGACCTGGGTGGACCCATCACCCCAGAGTCACATGAAGGGTATAAATATGCCATTACCTTTATTGATGATTTCTCTGGTGCCATTTATGTTTACTTCCTTAAGAACAAAAATAAGGCCGTTGAAGCAACAAAGCAGTTCCTGGCCGATACAGCACCTTATGGTAAAGTTAAACGCCTAAGATCAGACAATGGTACAGAATACACGTCTGAAGAGTACCAGTCACTGTTAAGGGACAATTCTATCAAACACGAGAGGTCAGCACCCTACTCCCCCCATCAAAATGGGACTGCGGAGAGAAACTGGCGCACACTATTTGAAATGGTGCGTTGCATGTTGATAGAATCAGGATTACCTAATGGTGCGTTCAGACCAAACGCGATTTCTGCGGCCAAAGCGGCGGGTCTACATTGACACAACATGGGGGACGCGCGCCAAGGAGCGGCGAGAGATCACGCGGCGCGATTCGCGCGGCCAGAGCGGCGCGAATTCGAGCGTTTCGCGCGATTCGCGCGGCGTGTTTTGAGATGTCAAGCGTTTTGACGCGCGTTTCGCGCGATTCGTGCCTCCAACGCGGCCGCCGCTAGAGTTGAACAATGTTGAACTTTTTGGGAGAATTCGCGTGTGCCGACCAATCAGGAGCTTTCTCCTCCAGTGACGTAGTGACGCATTTCACTACCGGAAAAACACTGGTAGATGACAGCTATGGAGGACACGTCAATTGCTCAGGTCGGTGCTCATTCTGAGCTATATAACACTGCGGACCACAGCTACCGGGACCGAAATAAAAAGGAGCTTGCTTGGAGGAGGGTTAGCGAGGTGGTTGGTGTCTCGGGTAAGTTATTTTAACTTTTCAATGTTGTAAATATTTCCCCGCGAAAAAAACTACTACTTTCCTGCTTACGAGTTGATGTGTTTATTCAGTGGAAGTTTGCAAAAAGCGGTGGAAGAATCTGAGGGACACATATGAGGTGCTGAAGGTCGGTGTCATGCAGCAAACGGAGACCTCGAACAGTTGGAAAAAATACATTTCTTTCCTTTCTATTACCCACATTTTGCTGACTTTTACATTTATATTGCTTTCTGTGTATGCATTTCTTTTAATGCTTTCTTAACATCATGGCCAGGTGAAAATAGGCATTGGCTATTTTCAAACCAGGATAGATCTTGATCATGTGTTGTGTTAAATTTCACTTTTCCCTTTTATATGAACAAATCATTTAAATGTACATAATAATGTACATTATTATGTACATATAAATGTCATAAGCGCAATGTACACATGATATGAAATAATTGTATTTCTTGTTTTCTTCTGGCACAGACACTGCCACCACCACACAAGGTGAGACATCTTGGCCTGAGCTGCCTGCTGCTGCTGCTGCTGCTGCTGCTGCTGCTGCTGCTTCTTCTTCCTCAGCCGGTTCTTCTTCTGTGAGGGCTGGACCTTCCCCTGCTTCTGCACCTACAGGTGTGGCTTTTTTTAATCATTGTTTTATTTTTATTCTTATTACAGGACTGTTCATATAAACAAAATGTTACTGCATAATATGCCAAAATTACCCAAGGGCTGTTACATCAGTGTAGACGACAAATTTACAGAGAAACGACAAGATGTCAAGGCACTACAGGTGGAAAGAAGCTTTGGTCTGATACAACACATCTTCCCTCTTTCTTTGATAAAAACATACTACTGAAATACCTTATGCTATAAAAGTACTGAACAAATACATGCAATGGTTGCCACAAGATGGCAGCTATCCTGTTTAATGCAGACAATAGAGTATTACTTTTTTACACAGCCAATTTCAAATTTCATTGCGAAATACACTTCAGAGATATTAGTTTGTAACTGTCGAAATTTGTGCATGTGTGAGTAATTTCATTGATAACTGCAATGTTCAAGTTAATTGTAACAAACACACAACTTAAAAGTGTTTTACATGTGTTTAACTATGTCTACACACTCTGGCTTTAATACAGATATTATTTGCTCTCTTCATTTTGCTTTTTTGAAATACATGTTCCACTTTTTAACACTGTGATTGCCCTGTGTTCTTTGTTGGCGGCTCTACGGACGTGGGCCTCTTCCGAGCCCTCTTCCTTGGTGGGCCTTCAGAGTGGGAGCGGGAGCTGCTGGAGACTCTACGGACCAAAGCAGCCGGACCGCCCGACTACTCAGAAGAACATCAGTTCCTGCTCTCTCTCTTTCCTCTCCTGCAAAGGGTGGCACCAGAGTCAAAAGAATTTGTGAAATTCAAAATGTACCAACTTTTATATGAAAGCAGCACCGTTCTGCTTAATTTGGAACCATTGGCCAGTACAGTTTTTTTTACCTAAGGTGACACCTTTTGCAGGGGAGGAAACAGACATGTGTCCCTTTCCTCTTCCACCGCACCTCCTCCAAGCAAGCTCCTTTTCATTTGTTTATATGTACATTTCATTTATTTTTCATTGTTTGTTACTTTTTTTATAAAGAAAATATTTTTCAAACCTCATGTGTTCTACTTCAAGCCAACCATTACTACCTTTCATATAATATTGACAGAAAATGCTATTCTATATTTGTACATTTACTTTTATAAGAGCTGACTGGGTTTTATAGAAGATGGAATAACAAACACTTAAAGAGCGACACAGTAGTTGACAGTATTTTTTATTCATTTCACCTTTTACTGTTTTAACAACCTTGTAATTATGGAAAAGCTTGAATGTGCATATGATTAACCTGAAGTTGGAGTGGAGTCGCAGTGGAGTCTGGCAGTCATTACCTAGAAACAGAAGGTATACAGGTGAATAGAATAGTGCAAATCAATATGGGTTTGGACTATGGCCAGATGTGGGTCAGTCTTGTGGTGGACATGACTACTCTGTGGGCTGCCACGGCAGTGCTCCCTCCTCACTGAAGTGGGCCATGAACACTTTCCTTATGTCCACTGCTGGCTTCCAGGCGGCCATCCGCTGCACGCCTGGAAGTGGTTCTTCACCGGCAGCAGCTCCCCTCGGTGCAGGAACCTGCCCATCTCCAGCCATCCTCATCCTCATCCTGGAGATGGGCAGGGCGCATTAAATTGCAGCGCAGTGAAAAGGCCTCATCTGCCACGAACACATGGGGCTGGGGTCCTCTGTGGTCAGCTCCAGGTATGCACTGGTCAGGAGGCAGGTCGAGTGTGCCCTCGCGCAGAGCCTCACCAAAGGCAGAGTTGGACACGATGCCTCCATCGCTGGATCTGCCGTACCCTCCCACATCAATCACCCTGAACCTGTACTGGGCATCCACTACAGCCAGGAGCACAAGGGAATGGTGCCCCTTATAATTAAAAAACATGGACCCAGAGTTGGGGGGTGCCTTCACAGCCACATGCTTCCCATCAATGGCCCCACAGCACAGAGGGAAGTTCCATCGGACCTCCACTCCTCTGCTCCAGGCACAGCCATGAACTCCTCCACGAGGCAGTCCCAGATGGCTGCCACCACATCTGGGATGAGCATGGAGACGGTGGATATGCCCGCTCTGAAGCTCCCCGCAATGGTCCTGTAGGAGTCCCCAGTGGCAAGAAACCTGCAATTACAAAATGATATGAACATATTTATCACAATTACATTCATAAAAATCACGTGACAAAACTTGTGTAGCATAAAATACGTTAAACTAGTAGACAGTAAACATCATAGACAGTAATCATAGACACCATATTGTTGCATAATACTGTTTTCTGAGCAATTACATTGTGGATTGTGATTGAAAAATGACACACTTTGTAAGTAGTTATGAATTCTGAATGGGGTAAAAAAACACTAACCGCAGACAGATGGACAGGCGCTCTTCAGCTGGAATAGAGCGCCTGTAGTTGGTGTCCTGGTAGGAGATCCTAGCGCCAATGCGGGTCAGTAGGTCGTCAAACTGGGCCAGGGAGAGACGAAAGTACCGCTGAAAGCGACCCTCATCCGAGCGCAGCTCCCGGAGCAAATGGTGAAACTCACCAAACTCCAACCGTCTACGGACTATCTGATGAATCCAGACACGTCGTCGATTCGCCCTTTGACGACGTGTCTGGCTTTATTTATCAGATAAAGCAACTCCTTCGCTGACATCCATTTTGGGAAGCTGCAGGCAAAAGAGACAAGCCCCGCCCCTAGACGCTCTCAACGCTCTGTGACAGCGGCTGCCCTCTAGTGTCCTGGCCGCGCGGCCAAGTTTCTCTGTGACAGCGGCTGTCACAATTTGTCACAAGCGGCTCAAGCCGCGCGATAGACGCGATTTGGCCGCAGAAATCGCGTTTGGTCTGAACGCACCATAAGGAGCTGTGGCCATATGCAGCTAGGACGGCTGCTGTCATTAGAAACAGGTGTTACTGTAAGAGAACAGGTGAAACGCCATATTTCTTATTTACCGGAAAGAGACCAGATTTGTCAAAGATGAAAAGGTTTGGGTCAAACTGTATGGTGTATGAACAAAACACGAGGAAGTTAGATCCAAAGGGGAAAAAGGGAATATTTGTTGGTTTTGATCGCAGTTCACCAGCTTATATGATTTATTTTCCAGAGACAAACAAAGTTATGAAACACAGACTGGTTCATTTCATAACTAGAGACGTTGCCGAGAGTCAGACACAGACTGACACAGATCAACCAGAGGGCCACTATGTGGAATGGGTAATTAAACCAAATGAAGTAACTCAGTCACAAACAGATGAGAATGACACAATCAGTGAACTAGACCAAGGTAGTGACACAAGGACTGATACACAGACCCCAACTACAACTGGTAGAGTTAGGAAGAGACCAAAGTACTTGGAGGACTATGAATGTACAGTGCAGAGCAGTATGTTAACTATAGACTACTGTTATCGAGCTACGGTTGGGTTGCCACAGACCTACAAAGAGGCTCTGGCCTCACCACTAGCAGAAAACTGGAAGAAGGCAATGAGGGATGAAATGTCTACATTTAAAGAAAATGACACCTTCTCACTTGTACCGTTACCGGAGGGTAGACAGACAGTGGGGGGAAGGTGGGTATATGCTCTCAAAGAAGATGAGAAGGGAAACGAGACATACAAAGCCAGATATGTAGCAAAGGGATACAGTCAGGTTGAGGGACTGGACTATTCGGACACGTTCTCTCCGACTGCCAATTTGACGTCATTACGTGTGCTGATGCAGCTGGCAGCACAGCATGACTTAACACTGAACCAAATGGACGTTAAGGCAGCTTACTTGCATGCACCGATTGACCATGAGATATACATGGAACAACCAGAAGGTTTTCAGGCTAAGACCAAAAATGGGACACAACTGGTGTGCAAGTTGAATAAATCCATTTATGGGCTTAAACAGTCAGGCAGAAATTGGAATCTTATGCTTCATGATTTCTTGCTGGAGAACAACTTTGTACAGAGTCAGGCTGATCACTGTATCTACACAAAACTGTCAGAAAATGAAAAAATTAATTTTGTTAGTGTGGGTCGATGATATAGTTTTGGCTGCAAACAACAAAACCTGTCTGGAGGAGGTCAAAGATAAACTGAAGAGTAAGTTCAAAATGAAAGACCTCGGAGAACTCACCCATTTCTTGGGGATTGATTTCAATAAAAAAGAGGGTTCTATCAAAATGAACCAAACCAGATACATTGCCAAAATTCTTGAAAATTTTGGAATGTCTGATTGCAAATCCAGAAGCACTCCTAGTGAAATCAAATGTGACTTGAACCCAGAAGGGGACATAACAGACCAAAGGAAATATAGAGGTATGTTAGGCAGCCTCATCTATATTATGACCTGTACTAGGCCTGATATATAAGTTGGATTGTGAGCAGATTGTCACAGCATTTGTCTGAACCAAGAGAAAAACACATGACTGCATTAAAACATGTGTACCGATATTTACAAGGAACTAAAGACTTGGGATTGTGTTACCACAAATGTGACACTAAACTCGAGCTGATTGGATACTCTGATGCAGATTGGGCCAACGACCCAGAGGACAGAAAGAGCACTACAGGATACTGCTTCAGCCTCTGTCAGAACGGTGCAATTGTTTCGTGGAAAACAAAGAAGCAGCAAACCGTTGCACTGTCTACATGTGAAGCGGAGTACGTAGCACTTTCCGCTACTGTACAAGAAGCGCTCTACCTGAGACAATTACTCAGAGACATGGACCCCAACTTTGAGCCAACCACAAAAGTGTTTGAGGACAATCAAGGGACTATCCGTCTTGCAAGGAACCCTGTGAATTGCCAAAGGAGCAAACATGTGGACATTAAGTATCACTTTATTCGATCCAATGTGTTGCAGGGTAATATAGTTCTCATTTACTGCCCAACTGAGAACATGGTTGCAGATGTATTTACAAAATCTGCCACTAGGGCCAAAATAGAGAAGTTTTGTACCTTTATGTTTGGTGTTTAAAGTTGAAATGTATGAGTGTCACCATCGAGTGGGGGTGTTACAGTGTTATATTGTTATAGTGCGATGTTGGCACTACTTTCTAGTGCGGAAGGTTACGCAACATTTAAATAAAGGCGGAGCCACTTGAGAAAACACACAGTATGGCTGCCCGCATGAAAATAGTCACCTGTCTCGTGTCTTGTGTCACTGCTAACTATCATGTCTGAAGAAGACCGGGGCACGACTTCCCGTGTGCGACATGCAGAGGAGTCAACAGTCAGAGCTGCACCCAGTCACAGAGCACCAGCCCCTCACTGATCCTCCTGCAGGTGGTGAGTCCACAGGAGCTGAGATCTTTCAGTGGGGGCTTTGGGCAAAGTGGGGTTAAGTGTCTTGCCCAAGGACACAACGACAGCAGTCATCAGTGGGAGTCGTGAAGTAGGTCTTGAGGTGGGCTCGAACCCACGACCTTCAGGCTCAAAGGCCAATGCTTACATCTCATTGCCCCAAGACTAAATGATGTCCTCCACACTGTGCACCTGAATATAGAAAAGAGATGAGCATCACTTGTTGCTCAGTGTTTTAAGTAAGTGAATAAGTAAGTAAGTAAGGTTTATTTATATACCGCCTTTCACAGACCAGAGTCACAAAGCGATTTACAATTACTATTTTTTGGACATTTGTCCTCTCACTCCACACAGAGATGGGAGTGGGGTCAACTTTGTTAACTTAAAAGTTAGTTGAATACAATTTGGTCATTATTTTGGTCCCAAAACTCTACACACAAGAACCTGACCCAACACTGGGACAGAAACCATTCACATTTGTCTCAAAATTAAATTTCTTAATCAAAACTCAAACTCTTCTCTCACAACTAAACAATCATTTGTCAAAATGATACACACTTGCATCATGTGAACACACTTTCAGATTAGAAGCAACACACGAGAGAAAACACTGCAGTTTTTCATGTTTACTGTTTTTAATCTATTCTATTCAGTTACAGTAGGGGGCGACAGTAGTTCAGTTGGTAGAGCATTGACACCTGGTCCTGAATGTTATGGGTTCGAGCCCACCATGGGCTATCACTGTGTCCTTGTCCCACGTTTCCTGAAGCCCCTGCTGAAAGAACAAGGCTGCGTCAAGAAGCCATCTTCCCTCCGGAGGACTGGTGCTACGTATGGCGTGGCAGCTCTCATCGTCACCCCCCGAACCAGAAATTGACTAATTGAAATGAATTAATGAATATCAGTTACAGTTGTTTTCCATGAAGCATCAATGGAAATGTTTTTGTTATTAACTCAACACTTTACATCACAGTACTATAGTATACTTTACTGCATCTTGCATGACATAACAAAACTGTGGAAATCGCCAACATAGATCAGAGAATCCAACAGTTCATACACAAAATATATAGAACACATAGGTATTGATCCTTTGATCCCCCATGGACCTATGTGTTCTATATTTTTTGTGTTTGCACCGTTTGATTCTCTGATTTGTGTTGGCAAATCATCAAAAAACATCAGGGAAATCCACATTGAGAAAGGGAGGCCGCGCAGCGATTGTAGAACGAGGACAGGTGCAGTGCAGGACTGAAGCAACTCCCAGGAGGGTCGGGCAGGGCAGTCCGCAGGTGTAGATGGAGGGGGCCACAGGTGAATAACAATGAACAGACTACTGTCAAAACCCTAATAATGCAGACAGATAAAGTTGGAAGGAGAGGATTGTGCTCAAGTTACCATACGTCTCCCAGCAAACTGACTCCATCACTCCAGCTTGACAGATGATTAGTCTTCCCTCCTAACCATTTGCTAAATTAAAGAGGACTGTTTTAAGCATGGCCTTAAATGTAGAGACCGTATCTGCTTCCTTAACGTGGATGGGAAGCTGATTCCACAGTAAAGGAGCTTGGTAGCTAAATGTCCTGCCGCTGACAGTGCTTATTGAGACTTTAGGACAGACGTCTGGTGTTTTGCAGTGTTTGCAATGCCCCTCGCAGTGGAGTGGTATTGCAAACATGTCACTGAATGTGCTCACCCAAATTATCGTCACAAATGTGCTCAGGGTGGACTGTGAAAAACACTGATAAAAAAACTCCACGTTTGATCCAGCAGATGACGCCCTTCAATAGAGCTCACGCATGCGCGTAGCACATACTTCCTCTTCCCTGGGAGCTAAAGCTAAAGCTAACAACAATAGCAGATAATTAGTTTTCTCCCTCAGATGGAAAGTCCGCTCTTCTGTGCAGGTACCATGTTTCTCCTGCTTTTGTTACTGATATGATAAATACTGTCATTATATTTTCTTTCATGAACTTAGCCGCTGGACACTATTAATGCAATGAAACCTCAGCAGTTCACATTGACACATGTTTGCATCGTTCTTTTTACAGTTTAGAGTTCTTGTTTCTTAATTGAATGACTATTTGAAACAGACAGTCTAGTACATTGTTTAAGGTGCGGTGTTTTCTTGAGAAATCAGGAGTTTAAATGGCCTGTATGAATCAACAATAAATCGCTCAAAGTGACCAGAGTTCACTTTGAGCGATTTATTGTTGATTTTTGGAGATGTGAAAGCACCAATCAAGTCTCACTTGTTTCCAAACAGCTGCAAAGTACTCTTTTTATTTTTGTCTGTTTGTATCCGAGGTGGCAAACCTTTTAGTCTTTGGTAAAAGTTTTTAAATGATAAGTATAATAATGATTGCATTTCCTATGTTTGAGCGATTTGATTCTCTGATTTGTTGTTGGTGAACTGACAACTTTATAAAGTCATTCGACTGCTATTTTTGAGCTATACGCAAATAAATTGAATGCAAATAAAGTGAATGGAAATAAATTGAAAGTTTCATATTGGGGTTTAGGATATGGAGTCTTAAGACACGAGAATGATTCAAGTGACCGTAATTCGTTTAATACACCAGTTACTATTGTAATACAATAACTGGTCTCCTGCAGATGTCCTGATGTCCTCCCAGAGTCCAGGCCTCTGTCTGAACCAGGAAATCCCAGAGACTCCAGCGATTAAAGAAGAGCAGCTACAAGAGTATTGAGTAGTACTCAAGCATTTACACCCCTGAACTCAAGGGTGGGGGTGGGACACTAAACTAGGGCGCCACAAGACTATTACCATCAAATTCAAACTGGCTTTCAATTAGATGTAATCAATTATTTGACATGAAACACAATCCTTTTGTAAAATCAGGCAAATGAATGCCTCAAATCACTCAAATAAACAACACTCCTACAGTCTTATAGAAAATGCCCAAATTAGGAAATGCTTAGTGATTGTTTGTGTCGCACTAAACCTTTTTGGCATAACAATTACACTCTGTATTATCCTGGTGTATATATAGATAGTTAGTAAGTAAGTATGTAAGTAATGTTTATTTATATATCGCATTTTACAGACCAAGGTCACCCAAGGCGCTTTACTGGACTTTTGTCCAGATACGAACCATATTAACTGACCAATCAGGAACCTTCTATCCCTGAATTCGACTTTAGCTAGGTAGTATTATGAGCGAACTTACCAGCCCGCTGCTAATTATTTATTTTATTATGTGTTTATTTAAGATAAGATAGATTTCAGTGTCATCGTTGCGAACATTACAGCAGAGAAAGAAGGAAATAAGACCACTCAGATTACAAGCATCAAATTGAGTCTATTATTTAAGATAATAGACAATATAATTAAAATAAGATGAAGAATAAAATAAACTCTGGGGCTATAATTGCACTTGGTTCAAAAGTATTTACATATATGTATATTGCACTTGTATTTGATAGGGACAGAACAAGATGATCGGTTACAGGAACCGATGCTATGTTCATAGGCCGTATAGCTTACAGCTAGTTGCACACATGGTCCTTAGGATCTCCAGATTCTCACTTAAATAGCCTGTTTGAGCTAGCTCTAATCTACTTATTTAGCAATATCACCTTTGCTGCTGTGACCTGAAGTGCTGTTTAGAATGATCAATTTATTTGTTTTGTTTGTGTGGATGAATGTGTTTTTGCTGCTACTGGACGCCTGAATTTCTCCTTTGGCGACCCCGCTCCCATCTCTGTGTGGAGTGAGAGACAAATGCCCAAAAATTAACAATTGTAAACCGCTTTGAGACTCAGATCTGCAGTGAAAAGGCGGTATATAAATAAAAACTTACTTAAAAAAAACTTACTTACTTACTCCTATGGTGATCTATCTATGCCAGTCTACAGTTTATGGTTGAAACTCCTCCTACCCTTTTGTCTTTCATTTGTGATCTGAAATCACAAATTACCGGTAAGGCCAAAGGGCGAAGGGGCAGAAGTGAGATTCCAGCTGGTATGGTATTATAAATGGTATTATACTGTATAAAACCATATAAAGGTGTTCACAACTTAAGCCATTATGGGAGGCATCTGTATTTCTTATGCTTTCGTGTCTTTCCTCGTTTGACTTTTCTGAGTTTCTCCAGGGTTGATCAAGTGAAATTCAACAACCTTTGAGATGTTTTTTAATGCCATCTCATTCTTTTCAGGTGTTCCCCAGAGTTCATAGCTTTGTGTGTGAAGAGAGAAGCCACCGAAATGGAGACCAGTGCGTCTGTAATCCATGAGGACAATTCAGAAACACCACCAGAAGCGGGCGAGAAAAAATTCCAGTGCAACGTCTGTAATAAGAAATTTGAGAGAAAACAGCATTTACAAAATCACGTAAGAATTCACACCGGAGAGAATCCTTACAGCACAGCGCCGGCAACCAAAAAAACAGTCGAGGAGAGATTCCAGTGTAGCATTTGTAAAAAGAGATTATGGAGCAAATACGGTTTGGACGTCCACGTAAGAACGCACACCGGGGAAAGACCACACAGCTGTCCAGTCTGCAACAAAACGTTTGTCCAAAAGGGGGCGCTAATTATACACAGACGAACGCACACGGGGGAGAAACCTTACAACTGTTCCACGTGTGAAAAGACATTCACAGACAAGTCTTCTCTCAATGCGCACATGAAAATCCACACTGGGAAAAAGCCCCACGTGTGTCCCTTCTGTTGTAAAGGGTTCATCAGGCCACGGGACCTGGACATCCACATCAAAATGCACATGTGAAAGACCATTCAGGTTCAGCTCTCACAGTTCAAGACCAATCAAATACATCAGTGGTCCCCAAACCTTTTTTGTACCATAGACTGGATTTATGCAGACAATGGAATGACGTCACTCATGGGATCAAGCGCCGTATTGAGGGGATGACAGCAATCGCGTTTCATTGCCAACAAACGACCTGCTCAGGAACTGTCTTCATGTGTATATTTAATACATAATATATATAAATGTATATTTATGGAAATATAATACAGTGACATATAAAAGTACAGTACTTGTTTGATTAAAGAGTGAATAATACTGGTATCTTACCTTTGCTGTGATAATGGTGTTAGCAGAGCTTTCTGGTTGAAATTAACATACATCTTGTACCCAACCATTAGTAAAAAGTCCATTAGCATCTAGAGATTTGTAATTTCTGAACTCTTCGAATGTATATGCACCGACTCCAATCACAAGATAGCAAACAACAATCATATTTGTTGTTGGTGGAAACCGTTGTGGGTCAGTTGACCATGCTTTGGCGGCTAACTCATATGAATATAACACTACACTGCTAATAGAGGTTACCTTGTTGAGTTTCACCCAGTGAGCTTTCTTCTTTTTTTTTATGTCTATTTTGCCAAAAAAGTATGCACGCTGACTGCTTGATATCTGCAATCTCCTCAGTGTGGCGACCAGATGCACATTGGTCACATGACTGTAAAAGAGCCATATTTCAAATGTGATGGATACATACAACAAAGACATATTTTATAAAGTGCATATAATTAAACCACTGTCTGTGACTACTCTCAAAGGTCAATCTCGGAAGGATATTGGTTCAATAGTTCATTTATGTATGTAATTCAACTTAAAATCTGAAACCAGTATTTGATATAGACTTATTACATGGAAAGTCATATGTGACGTATACGTTTGTTATCATTTTGATGATTATGGCTTAGTCCATTTACTAAATTCTCTAAAATGTTTTATTCAGGGTTTTAAAAGCCGTGAGCCAATGATCAACATAACGAATACAGGCTGAATATCTCACTTTGCATGTAAGGAGTCTATCATATTTGTTTCTCATAAGTCTAACGACAAAAGTAAAATTTACTTTATATTCTTTTGTGCGACCAGGTACCGATTGACCCGTGCGTGGCCTGGTGGTTGGTGGCCAATGAAATGCAGAATATATACAAAATAAATAAATGGAAGATGTGTTCTGTGAGAAAAGCAGAAAAGCCCACTATCCAAAATATGAGTTGATTATCAGTCTTCATCTTGACTTCATGTTAAAGGATTACAGCGTAAAGTGCTATTTGATGGTTTTGAAAAAACAGATTTTACTGAAGCTTTAGTATGTAACTTTATATCAATAAAATAAAAGTACAAAAACATGTTTCAGTGCTAAGATTTCAATAGTTACTTATTATGCATTGACCGTAGTCTGTACATAGAATCCTAATACAGTCAACACGAAAAAGTCCATTCTAAACCAAATAGTTTTTGGAAAGGGTTCTGAAGACCTCACATAGGTCTTGTTTTATACCGGAAAAAAATAATAAAACATATGTAGAGGTTATCTGAACTTTGGAGCATGGCTTACCAGAATGAATTGTAATTTCCTTTTTCTCCCACAGTTTCTTGCTAAATATATCATAAACGTTCCTTAAAACTGTTTTTATCAAGTGAATATATATTTTTATTTTTCAGACAAAAAAAATCATGTTCAGGTGTCTGCGTCATTTGGACAAATACACCACAATTCTCGCGACACATTCACAAAACAGTTACAAATACAAATGATCTCTTTATATAAATATACGTTGTTAGATTGTTTTGCTATATTAGATAAAAAAGCAACTTCAAAAATGCTTGTAAACACATGAGGAAAGAGTTCAAGTGGTTTTAGTGTAACAGTCTGGTGAACGTCAGACTTGGCTCATGTAGTGAGTGCCGTCGTCCACCGTCCAGTGTCCAGGTGAGTCGTCTAAAGGCCGCTGAGCTCTGCGCGGGGTCGCCTGAAATCAAAATCAACTTTTAGAAGACTGTACAGTGCATCTATTCAGTAAGACACACAGGGCTAAAGCATAGACTGTAAATTAGGATTGGACTGACCGAGTGTTAGCCTTGCCTAGAACTGGCTTAAACAGACTGAGCAGGAATGTAGAACCAACTGTATGCATATCTTGTACTAGTGAAAGCCAAATTTTGTGACAAAAGGATTCGGTTGTTCGAGCTACTTGGATTTAAAAAAGACAATATCTTAAGCCCAAAATGGTTATTGAGCTAGGAATTTGACAAGGAAGTCAATAGGAGCCAGAGTCGGATCAAAACGTTGATGGACGGGCATATAGTCTGTGGGCTGGGGAGGATTAACAGACAGGGGGCATTGAAGAGAATATATGTAAGAAGACATAAATGAATGCAGGAGAAAGCTTACTGCCTCTGATATCAGCAATAAAACCTCCTTCCTTGTCTTTCTTGTGTAACCAGGAAAGTCCCACTGAGATTGCACAATCAATTGGTCATATTTTTAGTTGTAGAACTGAAAAGATATTTGCTACTGACAAATTCAGCAAACAAATATCTCTTTAAATTTGTAAATGTTTAAGTAAAATGTTATGAATTCGGTATTATACTGTATGGCATAAACCTTATCCCCATCTTTTTGATGACCTTAGTGACATCTAATTTAATCAAAGTAGCATAATATTGTATTTTCTATCTTTGTACCAAACCTGATTTTCCAGGGCAAAAACCCCCCAAAAAAACCATTTCATAGAGTAATGACAGATGAGGAAAGGGGTTTATTTTCTGAATTTGATAATTTGTTTTTGGCTTTGTTATTAATAATGCATCTTTCTTTGTTTCACCAGGAAGTCTTGTAAAAGTAACATATGCAAAAATTGGACCACAACATCCTGTCTTCATCTCATTAGAATACATGTCAGCTTTTTATTCTCTGATCTGTTCACAAATACTATTTTAACGATCAGAACATAGTTAATATAGTTTTAATTTGAAAACTACTTCAGGTTTAACTGGAGAGTTCCCTAAGAAATACATTTGTACCAGATGTTTGAGTATGTGTATGCAGCTAAAAACCATCTCCAGGTCTAGTTTTGATGAGAAGGTTCTTGTCATTACCTGGTCTTGATACGTGGGTGTCTGGTAAACCTCTCTCATCGCCGGCGCGCTCTTGAACCGCACTGCGCCCTGCCGGTCGAGCGAACGAGATCTGGGCGCCTTGAGCTGACTGCTTCGCCGATGCCACGACTTCAGCTGCTCGTTCACTACCTGCTGCGGCGAAAACCCCGCCCTGAAACTGGGGCCGTGGCCGTTCCGCTGGTCCCAGTGCGGCTGCGGCGGCGGCGGTGTCAGCCTCACGTCTGGAGTCCTGTGCACGCGCTGGTACTGCTGCACGGGGGCTTCCTTGTACCAATACTCGTAGCGGTTTGAATGAGCGGGGGACTGGCCGTAGTAGCTCCTCCCCATGTCCATGTCCGCCGGGTAAACCATGTCCTCGTAATACGCTTTAGGAGAAGACTGCGTTTTCGTGTGGTGATAGAAACTCGCTTGAGGGAATAGCTGGGCTTGGTAGCTGCCGTTGGAGAAAACCGCGTGGTATTGCTTGGGTAAATCGGTGGGGGTTTCGTGGCACGGCGAGCTGTTGTAGGAGGAGTACGAGTGTTCGGAGTTGCTGTCCTCGGAGCCGGCGTGGTTGTTGTAGTTGAGAGAGGGTTTCAGCGCGGTGGTAGAAGTGGGATTGTTGTAGGTGATGGCAAAGTCGGTGAGGCGGCGGCGAGCGCTCCTGGTGCGTCCGCGCTCCTTCTCGTGGTTGTACGAGGCTTCGGGGCCGGACAGTCTGTACAGATGGAGAATTTTATGATCAAGATGTGCTGGATTAGAAAAGAACAGAAGTCTATAAATACAAAGCAGTGGGATTTTTTGCACTGTGGTACTTGAGATGTGTGAAAATTCTGTTTCAACCTGGGACAACAGTGAGAAGGGTTTGAACGCTGTTTGGACCTGTGTCGGCTTTATACTGAGCAGAAGACTAAAAAGCCTTGTTTTAAAAAGTCTAAACAAACATCTGGCTTCTAATGTAAGAAGGCGGTGCACCAGGACCTGAGAGAATCACGTTATAATGGACTATGGCAATATAGACATGTTCAAACACATCTTTAACTCTTCTTGGCCACATCTTTTAACTTTATAAAGGAAAGAGCCGCACTTGCAACAGCCTAAACTGCGACAGTAGGAGCTTCACTCGTGTTTCGCTGTCATTACGCATACGTCCAATGACTGGTTGTATGGCTGTCTAAATTACTGCTATATTTGTGTATGTTTTTCTTTGAGTATTTTTGAGTGTTCACACTGAAGACGTCCCTGTCGCTCTGTTCTTGAGGAAAGGGCACCCGGGGTTTTCCAAAGAATTCCTATGTTTTTGCGAAGTGCGAGTTAAGCTGGTGGTTTGTGGTGCTACATGCTACATTTAGTCAAAGATTCACATTTTGATGCTGGTGCTCAACTTGTCAGTAAATGAGTGCTTCTCAAACCCAAAAATATGCATGAAATCCACTGTCATTCAGCGACCTTCACAACTGAATGAAATTGAAAGCAGTAATCATTTGAATTGTCAATTATAGATTAGATTTAACTATCAATCCCAAAGGAAATGGGAGTTCTCAGTGTTAATTAACTCAGATTATGAAATGATGAAAAGAAGCATTTAGATGAAAGAAAATGCATGTGGAACCTGAGTGAGAGTTGTCGGTGGACCCTCATCTCCGGAGTGGACGGGGTGCTGTTGGACTGGGACCGCGTCAGTTTGAGATGAGACAGATGTGAGTTCAGAGCGGACTGAGCCAGACACTCCTCCAGGGGGGGCAACAGCTCTGTCTTCACTGGGGTGCAGCTGGAAGCAACATGAGAAGGATGTGACTGACTTATGTAGGGGTTTTAGATTATGTTGTCCTTAGAAAGGCAAAAGCCCATAAACGGAACAGAAACACAATAGAATGCTGCAGCATTCCCAGTAGATGGCAGTAGATGGCTCTGAGTAACCAGAGTAACCTAACCCTCTAGTAGAAAAGAATAGAATAACACAAAACTACTGGCCTGTGACCTACACAATTCCACACAAATAGGAAGTTTCCATTCTTAGGAACATTTCCCATGGAACACTCAGCTGTTGTGATAAATCAACTCCGGCAAAGACGATGTTTCTCCCACTAATCCGCGCATGAAAGATGAGAAAGATGAATGTAAAAACCTTTTCTTGCTGGAGGAGCGGGACTTCTTCTTGGGGTCCAGGGGCTGGTCCAGGTTGGACTCGGACCAGGGCGAGTGCTCAATGGGCGGAGGGTCGTCCAGAGCTAAAGAGGAGTTAAGGCTGAGGCTGGAGTCCAGGCGAGGGGAAGGGCAGGGGGTCCCCTGCAGAGACCCAGACAGACCATAGGGGGCGCTGTTCAGGGAGCAGGGAGTAGACGGAGCAGAGAGAGGCGGCGGAGCGTCCGGCTCCGAGATCAAAAGCTGAGACGAGCTGCAGACTTCTGCAGACGAGAGAGAGGAAGGGAGAGGGTGAGAGAAGAAGGGGATTGTTTACAAAAAATATGTAAACAATTTGTGTTTGTGAATTTATTTTTTAGGAATGATAGTAACAATTATAGTGTAATGTTGCTTTTGCCTGCTATTAACACTGTGTACAGTGAACAGAAATATAAACTCATTCCAAAATGAGAGATTTTGCTTCCACTTTACAAAGTTTCAACAAATATACAGTACTTTAGAATTTGATATTCTCAATAGAGTCATCTCTATCAGATATTATTCACACACATGTCTAAATCATTGTTTTAGTCTTTGCTGATACAATCCATGGGACAGATGTGACATATGAATACTGCACAGGTATCTCAGGCTGCCCCCCCTCATGGGGGTCAGAAAACCAGTCAGCGTCTGGTGTGACCACATACAGAAATTTCAGTGCTGCATTGTTCCTTTCCACTTTAAATACAACTAAAAACATGTACGATGAAACATTCGATGAAAAAAGCCTTGATTAGCCTCCAGTATAAATACAGCAGTGAAAAGCTGTTCATTATTACACACTGTGCCATTCCAATAAATGAAAACAAAGGCTTCTTACCTTCATCTTGTACCACAGAGTCTGACAAAGAGCTGTCATCAGAGGTTCCTGGATCTGCAAATAAAAACATGATCGTTATGAAGATCATGTGAAAACGAAACACCTTACACAAAGGGAAGTCCACTGTAGCAACGCACCAGTGAAAGCCAGGATCGAACCCTCGCTGTTTGAATGAAACCGAGATTGAAGTATTGTCTGAACACGTTTGGAGCAACGTTTGATCAGATAACTGCTGAACGGACCAGTGGAGACAACCAGGAAATGATCAGGTCCAGTGGAAGTGTTGCCAATACAATACGGTCTAGATTTTTCAGAAACTAATCCCAATCTCAATTTTGCAAAGTTCTATTTTATAGTTTGTTCTAATATGCATTTAGATTGTGTTATAGTTTGTACCGTGGTGTGACCACATAAAACAATGAGACCAATGCTCTACCAACTGAGCCAGTCGCCCCATATTCTATTTTTGTTTGTTTCCTTCCAACAATATTTTTGGATCATAATGAGAAGTGAATAAATGTATAAGCCTTTATTAGTATTAAGCTGTCTTTTTGCACAACCTGAGTGATTCTATCTATGTCAAAATATGATATGTACATTTCTCCCTTGTGAGATCAATGAAGTTTATCTCATCTCATGGTCTTCTCTATAGGGACATATGAAACGGTTCATATTCTCTAAGAAACGTCCGATGAATAAAACCCGGAGCTTGCAGAGCGTTCGAGATGTGGGACTGTGCACGGATGGACTGTAGGTGATGCAGACCTGGGGGACTGAGGTTGAAGGCGGGCAGCGGAGACGTGCGGCCGTGCTCCAGCCTCAGTTTGAAGGCCGTGTCCTGCAGCTGCTTCAGTTTGAGCTGCTCTCGTTTGCACTGCTGCAGGCGGCTCTTGCGGACGCCTTTGCTCATCCGCTGCTCGCCGCACAGACGCCTGGCCGCTTCGTAAATCTTCATCTGCAAAGACAGCGCCGCCTCCACCGAGCTCAGGTCCGAATCCTGTGACGAGGAACAAAGAAAAACAAACATGGTTCTTAGCTAATCGCTTTGCAAAGAGGACAAACTACTGTATGCAATAATAAAACAAAGTAACTAAAGACGTAATTAGAAGTGACTTCATAAATGTATTGAATAACAAAGTAAATACAAACAGCAATTTTGCTCCGTATCTCTTCCTTTACACAGTTTTCACATATGCGTTCTTGAAATTAAGATAAAATAATTGGTCGACTAAGAAACCATCAACCTTCTAAAACTTCTTGTAGACTGATAAATGAATTTCTAAATGCATTTTGAGTTCAATGTTTCATAAGAATTGCAGGCCACATGTATGACACTGCTTCTTTAGAACAACGACAAAATCTTGTACGTTTAGATCTCGCAAATATAATTAAATTCCAGTTTTTTTAGAACATGCCAATATTTTCAGCCCACAATGGAGAGTTGAACTTCCTTGATAGTTTTATTGCGATTGCATTTGAACTATCCCCTATAAGCACTTATGTATGCATCTATTTTGGAATACTATGGTTTGTTATTTAGACCTTACCCCGTTCGTGTGGGGGAGACTGAGCTCGTCCAGTTTGAACGCTGCTCCCACTCGTCTGCGAATCTGCGGCGGCTTCTCTCCGGGCTTCAGCGGGAAATCCTCAGACAGCTTCCCCGTCAGCTCCTGAAACACAACACATTTTCACAGTTCAAACTAAATAAATAAAGAGTCCAAACTGTGCTTTATCTGCAGACACACTGCTGTATGTTTACACTTGCGCCGCTGCTGCGCAACTCGACAGAACACGGCGGAAGCTATGGAAGCCCACAGGAACCCGGCCGTGGAAGAGGGGGGCAAAAAAATATATGTTTTTTTTAAATGTTGAAAATCAAGTCAAGTAAATTCAACCGTAATTCCATTAAGTTGTTTCTTTTGCTCCACCCTAGTCTCCAAATACATTTAGTACTAATAGAATCACGTTTTTTTCCCCCCTGTGCATTGTGTAGTATCAGGTTGATGTGGTTACACGCCGGTAACCACGGACACCGGACTGGTTTGTCACTCATCAATCAAACAGCACAGTTTACACAAGTCTTGCTCAATTGAGAACTCATGAAATTTGATGCTTTGGGAGCTTGGTTTCCGCTTGTGACACGGAATAAACCAACTAATAAACCGTGAATGGACCATAATGAATCACTGAAGACTTTTGTTTCTGGAGGTGTGTTTTATCGGGCCTTTGGCAGTTCTGAAACCCTGTATCTGGGAGCTGTCGCCGGAGCGTGTTCAGGCAAATAAGAACTTTGTTGCACAATTCAGATTTCCTTTCACTTCACATTCTTCTGTCTCACCTTTCGCTGTTACATGTATTGACAAGTGTCACTACAGCACGGTGAAAAGTCAGTAACAATGGGTGTTTCTGCCGCAGAGAGACAATGGAGAGAGACGTGTGCAGCTTGTATTGTGCTTTGGCAAACAATACTAAAGCTGGGATACCAAACTTTTTTTCATAACATTACTTTTTTATTTCAACAGGAAAAAAAAGTCTTGTAAAAAGAAAAATGTGAACAAATCAGACAAAAATATTCTGAGATTCTTATGAGAAAACATATCATCTGTGTAAGAAAGAGCCTTGTGACTGTCACTATTTGAAGCTTTGGGTCCTCTTTCACTTTTGTGTCTGAAAAATCTTATCTAAAGATGTGACAGAGGCCTAAACTACGTGCATGTGGAAACTAGTGATAGAACTGAACCATTTTGAGAGAGAGTTACATGGATGTGGTTTGAAAGTTAGGTCCCACAGCTTCCTTTGTGTACGTGATTTTTAATAATTGATTTTGATCCGTTTACAGCTGTTCGAATTCGTGAGGGTGAAATAAAGTTGTCAATGATTCAACGCTTTTACGAGGCAAACGTGACGCAAACTTTGTCATCTTTTGCAGACTGCTTCAGTAACGTCAGCGGTGACCAGTGTCCCCGCAGTTCTGCTGATCTGAGCGAGTCCCAACACGAGGGCCCATCCCCGAGAGGCGAGGAGTGATCCGGGATCTTACCCAGGAGCAACAACACGCAACCAGACAGGAGTGGAGCAACAATACAGGCGTCGCCATCCGTCCACAGCGTGAGATCATTGAGGAGGATCAACGTCCGGGCTCGCTCACAGGAAGCAAACACTACCTTTGACAACACCACACATACATTTTTTAATGCATCACAACTACACCATCACACAGACCCACTAACAAAAACAAAACAAAGCCCTCACACTGCTACAATAAAAAAAGAAAAATCAAGAACTACTTTCCTAACTTTTGTGCCAATATCCAGCAATAACAAAGAGAGAGAGACACAGAGACAGAGAGACAGAGAGAGAGAGAGACAGAGAGAGCGAGACAGAGACCGAGACAGAGGCAGAGAGAGAGAGAGAGACAGAGAGAGAGAGGCAGAGAGAGACAGAGACAGCGAGAGAGAGAGACAGCGAGAGAGAGAGACAGAGACAGCGAGAGACATGCACACACACGAGGATCCAATATTTAACAAGCCTTTCAGACGACCATTTTTTAAATGTCTCAAACAACTAAAAAATATAGTTTGAAAGGGGGTTTGGATGAAGCAGACGCTTATTTGGCTTTAGCCACTCATTAAAAAACAGACGCACACATTCACTTGCACAGGTCCAATCACTCTGAACCTACACCACTCCCCCATCACTCGCTCCATGCTGAGGGCATAACTCACTCTCCTCCTCGTACTTCATCAGAGCATTGGAATTTGTAATTTTCCGAGTGCAATTATTTAAGTTCTTTACAAACAAAAAGGGACTAAAGACCAGCAGAAAAAAATAACTTCAATTTGGGAAGAATTCACTTGATTTGAGTTTTTATTTTGATTGTCAAGCTTTTATTTTAATGATTTATAAAAACTGCACTGATCCTTGTTTATTCCACTCTCAACATGTGAGAAAAAAAAGATATATATATTATGTCCTCTATACTACAAAAACATGTCTGAAAAAAGGGATTTTTTTATTTTGAGCCAAGAACCAGCTAAATCTTTTGCAAATGTTGTTATGACCAAAATAAACACAGAGGAGGAAAAGATGTTTTTCTACATTTGACTCAGTTTTAGCAACTCAATTAACATGCTACTCAATAACAATCCTTTTAGAAAAACTTTATAATCCAAACTGTAAGTTAACAGTTTGTGCTCAATGATGTGATATGGAACCTGTAATTTAGAATGATATTACATTTTATGAAAGGTGCAGGAATCATGAGGTATTCACTTCATAAAGATTAAAGTTTTTGTCTAAGATCTCTCTTGAAGATGTAATTTTTTTTTACTTTGATCAAAATTAGACTTTTTAAAACACACGGAAAAACTCAAAGCTCACATGTTGCGAATATATGTCCTAACATTATGTGCTTGGAAAATTGCACCTATGTTTGGGATTGTGCCGTCCAACAGGAACCGAATACATCGAAACATGGTATTTTATTCATGTGATGATTAAGATTTCCACCTCACAGCCAGAAGGTCCTGGCCTAGTACTGGTTGTGTGGTACAATTCAGTAACAAGTTGAATATTACTGAAAAAAAGATAAAGTGTGATACATTTGGCAAGATTGGACTCGTGGCAATAAAACCGCATGCCATTCCTTTTTTCTACTAATGTGGATCCATCAGATAAGGCCAATAAAAGGCTTGTTTGCAGAGAATAATTGCACAAAACGATACAAGCACAATGTCCCAGATCTGTTGATTCTGGAGGCGTCATCCCAGACGCAGAGATAAACCTGATAACTCATGTTCAAATCGACGGGAAATACTACGTCACTGTTTCAGTTCTAAATGAGTCACAGCAGGATTAAAGTTTATCTTATAACAGTGAGGCGGCTGTTTGGCACTCTGCTTCACAAACTTACTCCCTCTTCTTGGGAACATGAGAAAATAGTTGTAGGTTTTCTCATGCTTCCAGTTTCTTAGGACGGATGTTTGAATGAGTACAGGCTAAATAAATAACTAGTCATAGATTGTACTTTTTATGCCGTCAGCTTATTCATAAGTTGGAGACAAAGGTTTATGACAGACCCTAAAGTGGATCGATTTTAGCTTTAAAAAAGTGTTTCTGGAAATGTTTGTATCAATAAAAAAATGTGGCGAGTACTGCAATGATTGGTCGATCCGATCCTCATCACTGTAACAGATCAGCATCAATTCAGCACCAATCACGTGTCTCCTTTTGCCGACCGGCCGCACATGCCCAGTGGAGTCTGTATAGATGTTCAGCTGGTACCACCATTGTTTGTGATTTTTCTGAAAACCGATACAAGCTGCAAATGCGGATAACGTTTTTGGGGGTCGTGAAGAAGATGTGAAAGACAGAAATAACACCAATCAAAAATGTTCCGGCAAATTGTGATAAAGTCCTTTGCAAAAAAAAAGTATTTAAATCTACAGTTAATAAGGACTATTGGTTTCATTTCATTGAATTGGTTTCATTTCATTGAAATGAAACCAATCCGACAGTGAAAGAGTCATTATTCAATGTATCAATTACATTGAATATATATCATGTAAACGCCAGTAGAAAGATGTGGCATACTGAGAGATACAAGATTAGAAATACTGCATTTGACTTGAGAAAATAGCACTGTATGTTTGTGTCTATAGGCTGGAGTAAATATTCTAGTCCACCCACGACTTTCACTGTTACAAAACATGACGGAATGAGACAGTAAGAACATGAAGGTAGGCCACAAAGTTAAAATGCCATTTATCAATTCTGTGAGGTTAGGCTTTCTGACAGTATTGACAGATATAATTTATTCCTTTGGGTTTGTGGGAATAAAACTAAATTTAGTAATGACATTAGTTAATCATGCCTCATAAAAGGTTAAACCAAGATGGAATGAACAGTCATAATTAAATCCACATATACTTGTCGTATTAAAACACTTAAAACACTGTATTCCCAGAGGCACATTGGTCTGTTTTTGGCCAATTGTCTCTTGGACTGTTGGTGGAATGACTTGCAGCATAATGGAACCATGAGCATGAGGCGGTATGGACAAGGTGCCATCCCATGATACACCTCACTGGTCATCATTAGGGATATACTAAAAATAATAGATTTTTATATAACTTTCAATATTGGGGGCAGGCACACTACCACAGCAGACGTCAAGTGAGAACCCACAACCATCAAGGTCGAAGAATAATGCTCAACCAACTGAGACACTGTTGCAATGTAGATTTATACAGGCCGACAGTAGCTCAGTTGGTAGAGCATTGGTCTTTGAGCCAGAAGGTCAGACTTTCTCCACTGATGTCTGCTGTCGTTGTGTCCTTGGCCAGACACCTCTGGGAACACCTGATGCCACAGTGGGACGGCTGTGGCTGTAAAGTGCCAAAATACCGTTGAGTCCTTAGGCAAGACACTTCACCCCCATTGCCTAGAATGAGTCTGGTGTGTGTGAATGGTTGGTGGTGGTCGCAGGGGCCGATGGCTCATACTGGTTGCCTCAATTCTACCAGTGTGCCCCAGGGCAACTGTGGCTACAGTAGTCTGGAGTGAATGAATAATGACATGTAAAGCGCCTTTGCGTGTCCTAAAAAGCGTTATATAAAACTGATGCATTTTTTTTTTTTTCCCCCAATTGTGTTAGATTTTAAAATCAAAGTTAGAAATAAAATCTATCTTCAATAAATAATATATAAATGGAATCAAACGTGTTGGATTTCTGTTCAAATGGCTCGATAGAGAAGGGCTCAAACTTAGTTTTACTACCAAGTCAACTTGTACTGAACGGTATCAAATGGTATCAAAAGTCCCCTGTATCATAGGCTCTGAAAGACACCCAGCTCTAGGCTTCGTTTCACCCATAACTAGCAGAAAAACATTCTTCACAATGTCTCGTTTCAGTAAAAGGCTGGGTTTGGTCAGGGCACCGTCACTCCTTCTCTCTGTACTCACCGCCTCCCGGATGCAGAGCTGCCGGAGCTCCTGCAGACACAGCTCCAGTCGCTCCTGTAGAGCCTGGTGCTTCAGCTTCATCGCCCGAGTGTGAGTGGTCACGTCCTTCGAGTGCGACGTCGGGCTGTCGGAGCCTGAAAACAGAACAAAGTACATATTTTACACATATATTTTATTCTAATTGCACAATTGTTATGTGTATTTACAGAGACCTGCCAACACTTGTGCAGGTCATTTAATTCAAAATCAGACAATGTGGTTTTGTTTCTAATAGTTTAGGTAAACCTGTGATGAAAATTACTGGCATCTATTATCTTTTTGCCGTCGGAAATTTGAAAACTTTAAATTTGACACTTTAAAATGTTTGTCATTTTAATTAGCGTGTTTGGGCTACTGCTGTGTCCAAGTAATTTCCCATGTGGATAAAATGTTCTACAAGGGATATATTTTGACGTAAAACAAAGTTAAGTTTATACCCATCCAAGTTTTTGACTTCATATTTAGAGGGATCCACACCCACGGACAGCCAGACTGTAGATCCAGGACTCAAGTTAACTTGAACATTTATATAATATATTTACTTATTATGTATATACACGATATTCTATTAAAAATGCTAATTTACATATTGAAGGAATGAACAATTTTAAAAACAGATTACAGGAATAATAGCTCTATTCTTTGATAAGATAAATAGTTAGATAATTAGATCAAACTTTCCATGAACGATGAAAATGATAACTATGTAGGAAAAATTACAAGAAAATATTGTGTCATACATGTGTATCTATAAAAAGGACTTGGGAACAGACACTAACAGAAAAAGACGTCTTATTTATCATCTTTATTAGTTTATAATAATAAACAGGAACACGCCTTTGACAGGAGCAGAGTCAGGAATGCACCCACGCACATTCCTGCCGCCATGACGCTAACACAATAAGTCTTTTAGAGAAGTAATAGTACAAAAAGACTGGGACAATAATCAAATTAGAATGGGACCTGTGGTCAGCGTCTTCTCTCATCGATAAAACAGTGTTCAGAGTTTGCAGGAATAAACTGACTGTGACGACAAATGGAAATCATGTCCATGTTAAGGCAACAATATTGAATTTGAAATGGTGTTGGAGAAAACCAGAGCGGTAGAAAAGAATGGAGCAAAAAAATAAAAAAATGAAAATGAAACTAAAAGAAAAAAACGCAACTTCATAATTTTCCAAAGTTGTGCAATTTTATGAGTCAATGTATAAACAGAAGAAATTGCACGAGAATGAGTTTGGTTTGTTCTTTCGTTTCAGTCGGTCCTGAAGGACACAATTGTGTTTCAAAATTTAACTTGTAATCAGCAGCGAGCATTTTGGTCACTACAGCGCTCTGATTGGTCATGAGTTTGACTCTGGGCCATTCTTTTGGATACGCCACTTTATTACTGTTCAATTACCTTTTCAGGCAGGTTGCATTTTAAAAAACAGATAATGTAGGCTGGCACATCAGATCCTGCAAGACCAAACCACATTGTCACTTTGCATACTTTTTCCACAATTACTTAAAAAAATGATCAAATGATTGGGCGTTTGATGTGACCTCAGCTTTTGAAGAAGAACAAAATCTTCTAATGGCTGTTTTTGCCAAAATAAATGTTGGAATGGAAATAAAACAGTCAGTTGACCAACACAAAATGTGGTTAACTAAGGAGCCATCGACTGATTAATAGACTCAGTGACTAAAGATTGACAGCCCTGTAACAACATCATCACCGGGATCGGCTCACAATTCTATTTCTATCACTGTTGCCCAGCCCAAGTGCTAATCCCCCTTCAGGCTCGCCACATAAGGCACATGCTAAAAACACAATGAAGGCCTTGTTGGCCCGGTTGTTCGGTGTTGTCTTAATTTGTTATGGCTTCCTCACATTCTTCACCAACATAATTGAGCCACAAGTCGTCGGCTTTTACGGCGGCAGACGAGAGCGCTGGAGGAGGGGAGGAGTTTGGGGAAGTCACATTCTTAACCCCATTGTTGTCGCGTCCGTACCTGCGGAGATCCGGTTAATAATCTGTGAAAGTATGTGGTCCTCTGTATTAAGACCAGAGCCACTCCCATCAACTTAATCTGAATACCATTAGCCTCCACGGCAACAGACACCAGCCAGACATCAGCGCTGTGTTTACAAGGAGCTAAAAGAGGGCAAAACTACATGTCTGAACCCATAACTGAACTGTCGGCTAAAACATGGTAAAACCCGAACTAAGACGGGGATAAAGCTGGACTAAGACAGGACTAGAACAGGGTATATGTTTTTTCCCCTCATCAACAACAAACGGGCGGCAGTAGCTCAGTTGGTAGAGCTTTGGCCTTTGAGCCAGAAGGTCGTGGGTTCAAGCCCCGCTCAAGACTTTCACCATCGACTCCCTCTGACTACTGTCGTTGTGTCCTTGGCAAGACACTTAACCTCTGGGAACACCAGCCACAGTGGGGCGGCTGCGGCTGTAAAGTGCCAAACTGCCGTTGTGTCCTTAGGCAAGACACTTCACCCCCATTGCCTAGAATGAGTCTGGTGTGTGTGTGAATGGTTGGTGGTGGTCGGAGGGGCCGATGGCGCATACTGGTTGCCTCGCTTCTGTCAGTGTGCCCCAGGGCAGCTGTGGCTACAGCAGTAGTTTATCACCACCGTGTATGGAGTGAATGAATAATGACACATGTGAAGCGTCTTTGAGTGTCCAGAAAAGCGCTATTTAAAACCGATGCATTATTATTATTATTATAAACCTGAAGTTGTTTTAAGATCCATCCATGCTATTACCAGAAACTTGATGTTGATGTCATAATACCGCTATGACATCACACTCAGAGCAGTTTTCTGCCTTTTAAAACAGAAGTATTGCCCATAAATCCGGTTACGCAATTCTCAGGTTAACAGCAAAGAATTTTCAATAACAAAAACCCAAAGCAAAACAAACTCCAGTCCTTCCTCTGTGGCAGTATTAACGGCTTATTAAACGAGCGCAAGGTTTGCGCAGAGAAATATCAGACCGCAGTCTTTATGTACAGCTTTTTAGATATTTGTGAAGTATGTTCATGTCTGACTTGGTTTTCCTAATCGTGTTTTTACCTTTCTGGTCTGTAACGAAGTTGTCAATCTCTTCTTGACTGTTAGGAGTAGTGATTTTGTCGTTATTCGCTTTTATTACTTCCTCTGGCTCTTCCAACTCGTCCGGATAATAGAATTCACTGGAGAATGCTCCCAGTCGTCTCTCATTATTTCTTTTTTACAGAGGAAAGATATCAAATTTGATACGCGCTGACCAACTGTCATGGTAACGGTCCGAGATGGGAAAATATCAGACTGCAAATCAGCCAATCAGAGCGAGCGTATGATCCAAGTAATATATTAAAGGGAGTTACAGACAGAAATAAAATTTTACCCTACAAACTTGTTTCAACTTACATGTTCTACTTATGATACTTTTTCACATTCTAAAATCTATAATGACAAAGTGAAAAGTCTCATAATAGGACTAGACCAAAACAGGTCCAAACCACTTCCACACAAATCAGTGGCTTTGTGATTTTGTGTCATTTTCACACACACATCCATGTGGGGTTTTGCTTTACATAGTGACAGTAACAGAAGAATATCATATCCTTTTCTCGCAGTACAAGTTTGGGAGTATTTTTGTGCCAACAGAAACTTAAACTAAGAGACCGTTTGAAAGGAAACTGGTGGTGATTTCTTTAAACATTTGAGATAAAGCCTGAGGAGATTTTACTCATGTCGAAAGTGAGTTGACTGTACAGCCTAGGGGTGGGAACCTAAGGGTACCTCACGATACGATACGATACACGATACAAAGCTCACGATAACGATAATATCACGATAACGATATTACAATAACGATTTTATCACAATAAGACCATTATTGATATATTGGTCAGAAATATACAATATGCCAATTTATGGCATAAATAAAATAAAAAATACTCTTTATTTCATGATAAATAGAATGGCGATGTGTAATGTAGCCATATATTAAGTATTGATACCAATAAAAAAAATATTTTTTTATTTTTTCCCAAAATCGATATCGATACTTGGCAAATGGATATCGATAATCGAATCGCGGGATAAAGAATCGCGATATATTGAAAAATCGATATATCGTCACACCTAGTACAGCCGCAGAACAAAACTAAAAGAATAAATAACGTCTTCAATGGAGGTTTCTGTGCAAGTGCCAGTGGTGTATATTTGTTTTTGGATGACTGCCATTAGACAAAAATAACAGTGGTAGTGGTGGTAGTTGTACTAATAGTAGTAGTAGTTATAATATTTTTTGCATTGTCCCAAATCACATCTTGGAGGACTTTGCAAAATTTTCGATTCACCAATAATAGATCAGAGAAACAATTTGAACGCAGGAAATGCAATAATAACAAACACGTGTGAGCCATTGGTCCTTAGACCCTCTTGCATGTGGTGGTGGTGGTGGTAGTAGTAGTAGATTGTAGCAGCAGTGGAAGCAGTAGCAGTAGCACTAGCAGTAGTAGCAGCAGTCGTCGTAGAAGCATTAGCAGATTTACTACTGAAATACATGTCCAAAAATGTCTCTTAAAATTGGCAATGCAACGTCCTGGTCTTATCATACCATCGTATTTGTTTCATTTCGTACATATAGGGAATGATAATTGACCAGAGTTTACGGATGACAAAGGCCAGGCTAGCAATGAACCCGGCTAGCAATGCACCCGTCATCCAATTCTTTCATCATATCTACATACGCTACCCACATTTTTTAATGGATTTTGGGTGAAGTATATGGAAAACGACTAAATGCTCATTCTGCACTGGCATCATCATGAATGTAATGCATTTCAAAGCTGGGTTACCTAAACCCACCCCCATAATAATGATTTATCAATCATATACATATATTTTTTTGTAATTTCACCCAATGTCCATATATTCCCAACTGTTTTGAGTTGGTTTGTTACCTGAGTGGAGAATGATGCCAGAATCATTGTCGCTCATCTCTGCTGTTCCCTCCATGACTTCAGACCAAGAGACTCAGCTCATGTCCTACAAAACAAGAGGTTTCACAGTCAAAACAAAGAACTCACAACCTTTATATTGGATAAAAACTCAACAATATGGTGACCTGGTGTGTAATATCAAGGGTCAAGTATTTTGTGTTGGCAATTTAAAACTGGAGTACCTAACTTTGAAACCTCAAACTAATAACAATGTCATCCAATACATTTAAGTAGTTTCTCGCTCTCAAAACAGTTTGGATCACTAGTTTTCATGTGCATATATTTTTGGTCTCTGAAAAAGCGGACCTGTCTTGCTCCACCCAGAGGCTACGCCACCTCTGCTGCTGTGACCTAAAGTGCTGTTGCACTTTAATACTGTTGTTAGCTATTTTTGGAATGATCCATCTATTTGTTTTGTTTGTATGAATACATGCGTTTCTGCAGCTACTGGACACCTGAACTTCTCCTACGTGGATCAATAAAGTATTGATCCAAGTATTGAAACTATCCATCTATCATGCCTAATAAATACTGCTTAAATGGAAGACAACACTAGAGGTACATTTATATGTATATATATTTTTCAAATATTTATTTTTATGAAAAGGATTCTGAAAATGATTATTATATTATAAAAATAATGGGGAAAGAAATTGATATAACAAGATAAAAATAAAAATCTATTTGCATCCTAGCCAAAACTTTGCATTCAAGCCAAAACTTTGCATTCATGCACCCCCCAAAAAAAGAAACATACATTATATACAAGCATTAGTGTTAAAGCTGTTTTAACCTAAAGTCCTGCTTGACAAAATCACATACACAAAAAGACATAGTTCAGGCAAGGCCAAGTCATGAATCATATCCTATGTGATGCATTTTTATCTGATGATGAAACAAAAGCTGTAAAATCTAAACAACTGTAGACCCAATGGACAGGAAACGACCAAAATAACATGTCCATTCAGGATTGAGAAACTGCGGTGGTGAGATTTGACCCATGACCAGAGGCGTGTGTAGTGAGTTAACATTTCAACAACAGCACCCTATTTAGTCACATTGTTGTGGGGAACAATACATTCTTCCTTCAAAACCCTTTATTTACAACAACAATAGACATGTGCCAGACTATGTTGTGAGAAGTCAATGTTTTCAAAAAGTAGTTAGCGCAATATACAGATATTATGTGGAGATGTCCTGATAATATGCTAAACCCAGATATTCCCAAATACTCCAAAGTTTATGTCAATATTTTGTAAAATCATTCGAACAATTATCCACTCAAGCTCATGTCTAATGTTGTGAGGTGAACTGTGAACTTTTGTTGGGACCATAATTGTATAGTTAGTGAAGGAATCGAATGGGAGGCAAAACTGAGACACCAACTGATGGCCGCAGCTGCCCTAGAGCAGACTGACAAGACACCAGGCTGCTCTTATCTCCACCAATTACACACGAGATTCAAACACTGTAGTGAACCTAAGAACCAAACGCCTGGTCGAGTAATAAGCTGACTAAAAGTGGCCATGTCAAATTATCCAAATATTTCCTTATCGGACTCAAACTGCAAACAATATAGTAAGAAAAAATAAGGATTTTGCAATGAATGAAAACTAAAAATGTGAGGAGTGTGTGGTAAACAGTGACCTATGTACTGCACAGGTGGACAAATGCAAGACAAAATAGTATTAATAACCTGGCCTTGTGGAGGTCTCAAGGACCACAGAGACTTTCGTTGTTTAGGCTATTTGTGCCGAAGGTTTGGCCTTTTCTATGATGACGTAGATTTCCATATATAATGTATCTGTGTCTTTTGTTCTGCCTGAAAATTAACGACCATTTTGTGAATAAACCAGCCAGGAGGCTTTGTCGTACAAAGATCCCAATTTGCATGAGTCTGATTCCTATCAAGTGTTTTCTATTCAAGCCAGAACAAAGTAAATATGTGGGCACTGTGGGTGAAGTGTGTTGCCCAAGGACACAACATCCATTTGTCCTTTAGTCAAACCACTGTAGCATCTGGTATTTCAAGTAAAGCGGTCTCCCATCCAAGCACTAACCAGGCCCCCTTATTGTGCAGGTACGGCCACAAGTTTCATCATATTGAGATTCTAAAGTCTTTAATTCCATTTCCTGTGTGTATGTCGCATGTTAGAAATGCATGTACAAGGATTATCCTGTTTTTGGTCAAGGCAAAGGCGAGTTTATTTGTTCAACACATTACAAGAATAACACAAGTCAACTCAAAGTGTTTAACATCTATTGCATCACTTGTACAAAGCAGTCTGATTATGATCTTTTTTTGGGTAGTTTAAGATGAATAGATCCTTGATTGGTCCAATAGTGGGGACATTTCAGTGTTGCGTCACAAGTTAAAGAACAGCACAGCCAAAAAAATGATATATGAGGTAATAAAAACCATTCAAGCATTTAGCTTATTATGAGTATGTGCTAAAAACAAGATTTGCCAATAGGACAGGCCATTTAGTCTTATTTCAAGAACTGTTGCTTTGTTTTCTCATTCCAAGGGAGACATTTCTTATATATTTTTTAAAAACAAGATTATTTTGCTTCACCCATTGGCAAATCTTATTTTAAGGCAGTCAACATGTGCTCAAATTAAGATACATTTAGCCAAATTTGTGCAATTTCAGACTTATTTTTCACCGTTTTGAGTGATGGGTCCAATTCTGTCTCCCATTATGTGCAACGCAGCCGTTCGACTCTCAGTCACTATGAGCACAGACCAGTGACCTGTTTGATGACTTCTTCTTTGACCCTGAACCAGGTGCACCGAGTTCTCAGAGACATGAGTCAGTCTGAGGCGTTTCCTGCTTCAAAGACGGACGTCACACCAACTGCTTCATCTCAGTCTGATAATAGCACTGAGCGGTGTTGCAGTAAAAACTTAGGTTTGGTCCCGAACTCTGCACTTCTTCATCACCTTGTTGTGGCCACAGTTTAGTCCTGACAATCCCTCCATGATCTGCTGTGATGTCATTTTTATTGCCTCTACTATTCCATTGTGGACCTCCATTATATCTGTATTACTGCTAAACATTATTATCTGAAGAACTAAACGTATTTGTTCTGACCCACATTATTACTAGTATCAATATCTGAAGCTGATGCGTCATTTATATCTCAAGGGATGACGTCTCTGTTCTCCTGCACATTGATACAAATCATATAAAAAGCGTTGTCCTCTTTTGTTCTAGCTGGACAGGACTTGAAAAGAAACCGGGTTACAGGTGCGATCGATTTAGTCTGTCTTCATTTCTTGACACTATTTAATGGCCAAATATTTGTCTTAACTTAAAGCTGGGGCACCCGACTTTTAAACTTGTATGGTTCCATTCTTTTGGTTTCACATGCATGGACTGTTGGCCTCCATCACATCTTTCTAGAGCAGGGGTGCCCAAAGTGGGGCCCGCGGGCCAAAGTTGGCCCGCCAAACTTTCAGTTGGCCCGCCAAATATTGCCCACCTCCGCTATAAGTTGCTATTTGCGTCCCTCAGCCTCGCTGAACAAACGGTGACATGTCTGAGTTCGCGCGGGCGCACTGACGCCCTCTGAACTGCGACTGTCCAGTACTTTACTGTTGTATCGAGATACACTCCTCACTCATGGTTCACATCTACTTGCACTAAAATGTTTTTTAAAATCAAACACATCTTTTAAAACAATTGGGTGCAAGGCCCCTTTATGTTCTTTTTTTTCAGCCTACTATTATTATTTTTTGGAGCAATTTAATGTTTTATCAAATTGAGAGGATTGTGCTGCCGAACTGCCACTCCCCCTCCTCACCGGAGGGAAATGGCGAGTGGAACTATTCACCTGCGCAATCCGCACCCACCCAGTGTGTTAAAAAGGACGGACACAAACACTTCAGAGTGAGTTCAAGCAGGACAAGCAGGGATTGCAGCGCACAATCCACGCAAGTAGAAGCAACAAATACTGTGCAAAACAAACCCTTCTACAACCCCATGAAAGAAGCCGGTAAGGGCCGTCCTCACTCGCGATCACTGAATGTCAGAACTTACGCGGAGTTTTATGATGCGTTCAAGAGCCCTTTGGAGGAGCGGAAACACGGACTCTTTAACAGTTACTTTGTTTTGATTGTCTATAAATGTTGTACTGTGTTTAGGAAAAACAACACAAAACTCCAGGAACAAATCAGGGTTAACTAGTCTGATTTTGTTAGTTTAATATTCAGTTCACTACTAATTGAGAATACTTGCCCTATGTTAAAAATATTAAGTTAAAACAGTTAAAACCTGATCATGTTTAGAAAATGCAGTTAGCAATTATGTTCCCAAATTCATTACTTAATTTTAAAATGTATTGTTTAAAAGTGTGCTAAACCCAGATCTACTGATCTGTGATGTCTCCCCTTTTTGATAAAAGCTAAGATAAAGTGATATGATTCAAATGTAGTTAAAAACTTTTGTTCAAAATAAATATATGAAAATAGACTTTACTTTTGCAAAGTAAATGTCATTTGCTAGTACAATAAACCTATACATTATAAATCACTATATAGTAATGCAAAACTGTTTAGAAAAAGGTCTTCAACAAACAGTTTACTGACATGAGCAGGTTAAAAATAGAGATTATTTAATTTGGGAGTATGATATTTTTTAATATAAATTAGTACTTTCATTTACTAGCAGGAACATTACTAAAAATTAATTAATATAACAATTGTAAACCGCTTTGAGACTCCGATGTCCAGTGAAAAGGCGGTATATAAATAAAGATTACTACTACTACTACTACTACTACTACTACTACTACATTATTTGTTTAGTAGCGTTTTAAAAAACAGTTTATTTACATAGAAAATCAGAATCATTTTTATTGCCACGTAAGTAACAGGAAGTCACAGACTTGGAAATTGCTTTGGCTCAGTGCAACAGAGATAATAAAAATAAAGAATAAAAAACACTTCTAAGGAATACATTTAAATTTAAAATAGAGTTACAGTTACTATTTACA